AAAAAAAAAAAAAAAAGCCACCAAAAAACTGTCTTGAAATTAAGAGACACACAGAGAATTTAAAGAGGGCCAAGGGGAGAAACGTAGGTGCACTTACAGGGGGAAAGTCCTGTGCAGGGAGAAATTGGGGGTAGACCAGAGAAACAGAAGCTGTTGAGATCCTCAGCTGTGCTGACAAAGGGTAAGAGAAAAGCTCCAGATGCTGCACGAGGGATGTGAGCTACACTTACAGAAGAAATCTCGCGGCAGCGAGAGGTATCAGATGTTCTCAGACAAAGCGTTTTCCTCATCCTCTGCTCTCCTCTGGTCAGCCATTCCTAGAGCCAAGGAGACGGACAGGATGCCAGGAATCCAACCCCACGGGTCTCTGGCTCTATATTCTGAGAATTGAGGCGGCACAGTAGTCTGGATGTAAGAGCTAAGCTGCCCTGAAAGCTGGTTTTGGCAAAGCTTCTGCGTCTGGTTCATCAAGCTGTCTGGCCCTCGGCCCTTGGCAAAAGGGTTCTCGGTATTCTTAGCTTTCCCTCCAGCAGGGGGCGATCAGGAGCCGTTCTGCACTGGACCTTTAAAGCCCACATGATGGGTGTCCTCTCTTGGTGTTCTCTGGTGGACCCTATGGACCCACTCTGAGCCACTGCCTGGGAGAACGGGGGAGATATGGTCGGTCATTTGGGTCCATGCCTTGTGTCCACACAGACGTGAGCTGTAGCATCTGGATTCTGAGGTTGGTCAGACGTTAAGTCAGACCTGCATGCTGTAGCTCAGGAAGAGTGACAGCACATCATCAGAGAGGACAGGCTCTCCGGGAATCTCTGCCTTCATGGTGAAAGGGGCTGTCCTCTGGCACAGGAAGAGACACCCATCTCCACCATTTAGAGTTCCATACGGTAACTGCCTGTGTCTTGGCAACTCCTGTGCCTGCTTCTCGGGGGGAGGAAGTTAGGTACACTCTCTGGGGAACAGTGGCTCCCAAAGCCACCAGCTGGATCACCCTGCCTGAATTTTCACATGAATGCCCACTGCTGCAGCTGACCACGTTTCTCCATAACCTGCCCTTTACACCAGGCTTCCGTTCCTTCATGATGTCCTATGTCACCTGACTTGCAGGCTTTCCATACCCTTAAGATCCAGCTGAGCCAAGCCCTGTGGCACACACCAATAAACCCAGTACTTGAGAGGCCAAGGAAGGAGGGTCACAAGTTCAAACCCAGCCCGGTGAACTTTGATGGCGATGACTATGTTGATGATGGTGATGGTGATGGTGATGGTACAGCAGGGCTGGGGACGCAGCTCAGTGTGAAGGCCTTGGGTTCCGTTCCAGTACTGAAAAAGAAAAAAAGAATCCAGGTGATCTGCCTCTGAGCCTCTTGAGTTCCTCTGCAGCCTCTTTTTTGCCTGCATGGGTCTGAGTTTATCTCAGAGCCACAGAGGAGAGACGGAGTCTTAGCTGAGAATGGGAAAAGAGTAATTCATGGCAGTTTCACCAAGAAGCTCACTAAGACAGCGGAATCGTCCTCCTCCACCTCCTTTGTCCTTGGATTTTGATATTGTTTGGTTTGGATTTAAAAAAAAAAAACGCCCAGAATTGACTGTCGGAAGCAGGGACAAGCAGAGCCTCTGTCTTTAGACAGGCAATAAAGTAGGTACAGAACACAGGTTTTGGTACCAAATAGTGTAGAATCTAAAGCTTAATGAGCTTGTGACCCTGAACATCTCTGTTGACCTCACAAGGTCTGAATTTTATCGGCTAAAATGGGGTGATTCCCCCAGGTTTGTTGTGATAAACATCACAGTGAGGCAGATAGAGCTCAGCGGCTTGGCCATTAACAAACGCTCCCAAGTGGAACCTTGAGTAAGTTTTACCTCTGACTTTCAGGCCGTTCTTTCCTTTGCTTTGAACCTGGCTGCTTTCCCAGCCGCTTGTCCTTGCTTGAGATAACGCTGGGTTTCCTGGCCCACGTCCTCCAAGTGCAGATCGCCCCAGCGTCTTTCTGGTCACAGCACCACAGCGGGCTCCGCGGTGATTGTCCAACCCCCTCCTCACTGCCTCGCTGGCCATCTGTGCGTGTGGAGCTGCGTGCCGTGGTGCGGATTCAGTGTCCGCGGGCCCGCAGATGGGCTGCTACAGATCAGTCCTGCCCTGGACGCTCCTCCTCCTCGTGGTCCCCTTGACCTCATGTCGTCTTGACTGGTTTGGTGGCTGTCGTGATGGGCGGGGGGAGTGCTATCTGTTGACACTGGGGTCTGACTGTTGTGAGCGCTGTGTATCTAGAAGGTAACCGATTAACCACATAATGGATTAACCCCTCGGTAGTCACTGTCATATATGTGTGCTCTGGTGGGGCCGATGAAGACCGGTACAAAGTGAGAGGTTAGTGTGTGGGGTAAACTGTTGTCGTCCTTTTGGTTGTTTCCCCCTCTAATCCACTCGTCCCACAAGCATCCACTGTTGTTGTGCCAGCAGCCCTAACACCCCAGCATATGTTTCGTCATTTCTTCCCGGGACAAAGGGCGAAAGAGAAGCAGAGTCCATGCGGTACACTCTCCAGTGACCGAAGGGAGAGAAGCTGAGCGCGCCTGGGGCAGGAGGAGCTGTCCTGGTCCAGCTGGGCACCAGTGAACCCACCGAGCTGCGAAAGGAAACACCGGTTACAGAGATGGAGTCCACACCACTCTCCTCGAGCTGCCAGTACCAATTAGCCCTGGAACAGACGCTTTGTTCTAACTCCAGCGCCCCCAAGGGCCCCCAGCTCCTGGCAGCTCTGCCTCCCCCCCACCTCCCACTTGACCGGCTGAGTCTAAGACGCACTGAACCCATGAGAGGGCCGCACTCCTGTTTTTATTTTTAAGTCTTCTTTATAGTCATACCCCTGGACAGGTGGTGCCTTGGAGTTTCTGGTTGGAAAAATCCTCGCTTTTGTCTGTTCATTGTCTCCATCCATCTTTTCCATTTCTGTAGAGCCATACACACAGCTCTGGGGGAGAGACGAGGCTGCACTGTGGTGGGGTCCTCTTGGTGCCGGTGGACCCAGGCCCCCATGGCAGTGGCCGTCCTGACGTGTCTGCCAGGAGCTGCCTGGTCTTTAAACCCCACACGAACTTCTCTGACTCCGGCCGCATGGCTGCTTGTGCCTCGTTGAATTGTAGATCACCCCAGTCTTGGCTGCCACCTTCCTCCCCCAGTATCTCACTTGCAATTAACACCCTCCTCACAGCCCCTTCCCGAAGTCATCAGTGAGGAAGCAGAATGGTCTTGGCCCCAGAGTGATTTCCTGTCATCCCTGCTCAGTGATGCTTTCTGTGTCTTCATCTTCGCTCAGCCATTAATAGCTGACCCTGCACATCCTACTGTTTATCTGGGCCTTAGTGGCTTTATCCCAGCTCCTGTCTTCAGGGTCCCAAAGAGTGACTCACCTGTCCTGTGGTCCCAATCCATGCCCTCTCCGTCTTCCACATCCCTGTCTGGCAACCACCACAGGGGCCTGCAGGACCCCAACATAAGATGCTCAGGGAACTGAGCTCTCGCTGCTCAGAGAGCCCCCTCCCCATCCCAGAGAAGGGGAGATTTCCTGACTTGGGGAAGCTGGACTCCTCTCTGCAGGACCTCAGATCTTAGAGCTGGTCACACACACACGTGCTGGTGCGGCCGAGTAGCCCAGGCTTCCTAACACCCCTCTCTTACTGATGTCCTGGGGTGGTTTGGGCTGGGAGGGCCCAGCAGGAGGCGTGAAGACACTTCTGTAGCCCCACAGCACAGCTGTGGCCTGTCTGGGTCAGCCCTCCAGGCAAGAGGCTGACGGGAGCTTGTTCTGTCCTGTTTCAGCCCGAGGAGTTGCAGAAAGAACACCCAGCTTCATGTATCCCCAGGGCACCTCGAGCAGTCAGATGGTGCTTCGCGGCATGGACCTCCTGCTGGAGTGCATCGCTTCTGGGGTGTACGTACGGTTCGCACCCCACTTCTAGCCCCGCTCCAGGAGGATGGGGTGGGCGTTTGTCCATGCTTGTTCTTGCTGCCTTTGGGGACACACCAGTAGTACAGCAGAAAAGGAGGCTGACTAATAAGCAGGGAAGCCCCTGATAAGCAGGATTTTGCAAATCATAGTAATCCTCCCAGTCTCACCGTCTCGGTTTTAGAAAAGGAGGAAAGGAGGTGGTTGGGCATCTGACCTGTGCAGTAGGCTCTCCTGAGATCTTAGCGCAGTCCCTTGGGCCCTGAGTGGCTGAGTATCCTCCTCTGGCTGGAAAAGACCATCTCTGAGGACCTGCATCCTCCCAGGCCCGAGACCTTTCAGAACATCCGGTGTCCCAGGCTCTCCAGAAGCCCAAGGCCACCTTTAGTGACGAGTCCTCTGCCTCCTGCTCGGTCTCTCTACCAGCCCCACACCGGATATCGCGTGGTACAAGAAAGGTGGGGACCTCCCATCTGACAAAGCCAAGTTTGAGAACTTTAACAAGGCTCTGCGTATCACCAATGTCTCGGAAGAAGACTCCGGGGAGTATTTCTGCCTGGCCTCCAACAAGATGGGCAGCATCCGGCACACGATCTCGGTGAGAGTAAAGGGTACGTTGTGTGTATTTCTCATTATGATTATTTTGCCAGCCCCATGCACCGTGACCACCCCTCCCTCTGAGCGTGGCTGGGGGCGGGTGGAACAGGGCTCATTGCGATACCGTGGTTGGTGGGAACAGCGACGTGCCACAGGGAGTGTCACCCTGGACGTGAGACTGTGTGCACACCGTGTGTGTGAGGGGTGGTGTTGATCCACCTGGACCATCACCCCGTTCTCCTCGGTGCCAGGGCCCCCGCAGCAGGTGCATTTCCTCCCGTGGCCCATCTGGATCACTCTCAGAGCCTTTTCTTTCATTTTGCGTCCCTGTCTGTGACCTGTTGTCCTAGCCCTGTGCCATCTGTGTATGTGTGCATGGTGTTGTGCTGCTTCTGAAGGGTGGGGAGTCACCACTGCCCCAGCTTTTAAAACTCAGTTTCTTCCCCCAAAGCAGAGATGGCCCACCTGAGCTGTTGCAGCAGGCACCTGCCTTCATAGGTCCCGGCCCTGTGGCTGGCGCGAGTCACTTGCATGGATGACTGGGACAATGAGGTCTGGGACTAGAGCACAGGAACTTTCTTAGCACACAGTCGATTGGTCTTGTGGTTCTGGCTTCGGCACCACACATAAATTCGGGAGTTCTTAGCCTTTGGGGGAAGGCAAGTAACAAGATGTTTGAGAATCTGATCCAAAGGGTCCTTTCCTCAGAAAAACCCATGTATCCACAAAATAATGAAAAGGGGTAGCCTGCCCAGAACTGCCCTAACCAAAGTTCAGTGCCTAAGAGGATGAATATAAGGCCCTCTCTGGATGGTCTGATATTCCAGCAGCAGAAAACAGAGGGAGAACCCAGTGGCACGAGTGGACTCATTAGGTGCATGTCATAAACACCCATGACCTCTGAAGGCAGCAGTCACTCCCCTTCCCCCCCGAAGCTGATGTTGGATTGCAGATGACCCTGGCTCATTGTGCTGTACTTGGTTTTTAAAAAGCCTTCAGAGGATCCTCCTGAGCGGCCCCGCTGTAGAACTACAGTTCTGTGGACTTCAGTACATAGATGGGCATCTGCACAGCCACAACGGCCATGTGCAGGCTGGACTGAGCCATCAGCATGAGGACAAGCCCTGGACGGGTGCTGGGAGTCCAGTGCTGGACTAGGGCTCCTGCCTTCCTCCAGGGAGCCCACGTGGGTTCCCCTGCCTGCCCCATGCCAGCTGACTCCCTGCCCATGCCTGCCTTATCTTCCAGCTGCTCCCTACTGGCTGGATGAACCCAAGAACCTGATCCTGGCTCCTGGAGAGGATGGCAGACTGGTGTGCAGAGCCAGTGGGAACCCCAAGCCCACGGTCCAGTGGATGGTGAATGGGGAGCCTTTGCAATGTAAGTCACAGGCCCCTGTCCTACCTGACTCTGCTCTCTGTCTGGTCAGAGGTTCCAGTCCCCATCACTGCCTGTAATACCAAGGGTGAAGGAAGAGAGGAGCCTGTGGGCTGTTGCCTCCCAGCAGCTCATGTCTTTAGACCTCACAAGAGGTGGGGAACCTGCCTCGTCTTTGTACAAGAGAAAACAGGACGCCTGGAGCCCTGTGGTTCTATATCTACTTTAGGGGATTTGTGCTCCCTTGGGTTTGTCTTCAGTCTTTGCTCCCTGCCCCATAACAACTCCAGAGCCCAGCTATAGGTCTGGACCTGCAGCTGCATCTTGCATGGTCTGGGCTTTGAGCGGTGGCTGGCGCTTAGAAAGTAGAGGAGAGCTTGGAGTAACCCTTTGTCTTTGGTTCACCAGCCATACTTTCTGATAAAGGCAAAATAAGAGGCCAGGGTTCTGTGACAATGCGAAAGGTTATGGCGGGATACGAGGAAGAATTTTCCCACAAGAGCAGAAGTACACAGATGCAGGCATGAAGTAGGCCCAGACTTTGGGAAATTGTCCTGCCCAGATGGCCAGAGCAGGGGACTCCACAGCCTCCTCCAGCTCGTGATCTTGGCCACATTTTCACATCAGACCTTTCCACTTGCATTCATTTTTTTCTAATGTCCAGTTGTTACTTTTTGTAAGGAATCAGAAGGATAAGTGGTGACAGCAACCAAATGGGGACAGAACATCGGCAGAAACTCAGAATCCAACCTGAGCAGCAACCGATCGAAGCAAGCAGTGCGATGGAGAGGGCGCCCTCTTAGACATTTGTTAGGGGCCAGGCGCTCTGCCAGCTGCTTCACCCTGTTATCTCTTTGATCACAAACATGAGAGCTGAGGGCCAGGCGCTCTGACTGGCGCACTGAGGTGCCAAGGTTCCGCCCAGCCCAGCACGAAACCTCCTTACGCTGGCCACGCATAGAGAGGTAGGCACGGCCTGCCCTGTCGCCCGCAGGCCTTGCCCTCCTGATGGCACTTTGTGGATAAAGCACGGTCAGAGGAGCGCAGTCCTGGAGGAGCCCCGAGAAGGGCACCTCTTCCAGGCAGCACATGAGGGGGTGACTGGCAGGAAAGTTGGCTTCCTGAGATCGCCAGGCAGGGCGGTGGCAGTCACGTTGCTGCTGTTGCTGTCTTCATGCCCTGTACTGAGTGAGGATAAGGATGTTGACCGCCTCTTCGGTTACCTTCTGCTGATTCCCAGTTCCGGCCCAGATTCGCTATCTGTAGAGTGGCGCCCGCAGGGCCAGACGCCTGCTTTCCTCCATCTGTGCCCCTGACAGGACTCTGAGCTCAGGACAGAAATCTCCAGCGGTTCCAGAAAAAAGTGGCCTTCCTTTAGTTTTTTAGAGAAGGTTTATTTTTACAGCCTATGATCACTGATCGTAGTCTTCCTTAGAATGGGGAAAGATGGGGATGATGCTACACATTTTATAGATGAGGGAAATGAGGACTGGGAAGATGCGCTGACCTGCCCCAGGCCCCAGCGTGACCTGCATACAGGCCCAAGTCCCACAGCTGTGCCCAGCCTGTGTTCTCCACACCCTGGCTAGCAGTGCCCAGAGAGCTGTGGCTGGGGTTACCTGATGCCTGCCTGGAAGGTTTCCGAGGAAGAGTAGGCGCTTCGGCAAAGGGACTTGGAGTTTGCGTGGGGCCTTCGTTGCCTTATGGACTTAACTCTGTGCGTGTTTGGGGAAAGCTGTGTTCTAAGGATGACAAGGCGGTGGGTTCTGTCCATTTTATGTTGCTTTATCCTTTTCAAAACACATTTAAGTATATGAACACTGGATTAAAATGACAGTAGCCGCTATACTGCAGTGTTGCCAGACCTCTGCTAGTCACTTTATAAATGTAGAAATCTCAGGCTGTCTGCACAGAATTCCCAGCGGATGATGCGTTATCCCACTCTGCAGATCAGGGGATTGAAGCTCAGCAGTCTGAATAGTGCTGTAGGTGATGCGGTTAGATTTATTTCCAGCGCTTATGTTTCTATTTCCGAATCTTATATTCTCAGCCACAGCTGCCCAGCTGGGTTGAACTCAGATTCATGTCCCCCCTGGGTGGATGAAAAACAGCTCCAGGGGGGTCCAGGATCACACAGTTTGACCAATGTTGGACCAGAAGCCAGAACCCACCCAGTTCTGCCTCTTCCACGGCATCCCTGGGACATCTGGGTCCCTGGCCAGAGGCCCACGTGCCCTTCACTCCGCCAAGCGCTGTTTCTCACGGGGAGTGTCTCCTTCTTATCTGTAGCAGCACCACCCAACCCCAACCGAGAGGTGGCCGGCGACACCATCATCTTCCGGGACACACAGGTCAGCAGCAGGGCCGTGTACCAGTGCAACACGTCCAACGAGCATGGCTACCTGCTGGCCAACGCCTTCGTCAGTGTGCTAGGTGAGCCTCCCCAGGGGCTTGGCCGTGTCCCAGGTGCAGTTTGTCCTCTGGGCAGGTGAGAGGGCACTGGGATGGGGGACGCACGGACACTGAAGATAGGGTTTGTGGGAAGGGTGGCGGACTGGAACTCCTCGCAGCCAGATGAGCAGAGTTAACGCCATCAGAGAAGTAGCCTCGGTCCCTTCCCTCTGCTGGTGAGAGGGCTCGAGTCTGGCTTATCTGCTTGGGTGCCTGTATTGACTCATGGGGTCTCCTGATATCTCCAGGGGGCAGCGGCTGTGAGCATGCGGGGGCTACGAGGGGCAGCGACTGAACGGGCGGGACAACTGGGGGAAAGCTCTGCAGGCGCTGGACTGGGTGTGAACAGGTGTAGAGCAGACAGGGGTAAACTTGCTCCCTCCTCACCTGACCCTAGGGGCTTCTAGGAGGGAAGGCTGATGGGGAGGGTGTCCAGGGTGCCTGGAAGCTGCTGTTTGGGGAAGATATGCAGAAATTAGACCAAGGAGGAAAAAATGGAAGAACTGAACTCCACACCCAATATTGGCACCTGGGAATTTCAGACGTTCCTCCGCGGATGCTGTCACCCCGGAACCAGCTCATTCGGGTGATCCTGTACAACCGCACGCGGCTGGACTGCCCGTTCTTCGGGTCCCCCATTCCCACCCTCCGATGGTAAGTCCCGGGAGACATCCTCCTCCACAGAGGCCATCTGCCTCACCCTTCTGGTGCCCGAAGTAGTTCTCGCAGAGCACTATGGTAGTGCTGTTCAAGTACTAGGACCCTTAAAGCACCCAGGAGGAAAGTGGCCCTGATCTGGGTCAGCTCCCTCGTTTTACAGAAAAGGAAACCAAGGCCCCAGAGAGGGGTTGAGCCCTGTCAGGGCCACCTAGTGATCAGAGGCAGGCCCTGCACAACTCGGGGCTCCTGCCCCTGCGGACTCCCTGGGGCTGGTCCTTTCTCAGTATGCTGTGTTCTGCTGCTCTCTTGTGAGGTTTAAGAATGGGCAGGGAAGCAACCTGGATGGTGGCAACTACCATGTCTACGAGAATGGCAGCCTGGAAATTAAGATGATCCGCAAAGAGGACCAAGGCATCTACACCTGTGTAGCCACCAACATCCTAGGCAAGGCTGAAAACCAGGTCCGCCTGGAGGTCAAAGGTAAGGGACAGTGTTCGTAGGTAGGAGCTGGGGGCGGGGAGAAGGCTGTGTTCCAGCTAAGCAGATGTGTTGTCCCCTTGGAGAAGGCCCGCCTAACCCTTCCTCCTGGGAGGCCCCCCGTGTGCTTTTGCCTGTCCCTTGGGGCTGCCACCCGACCCGGGAGCTGGGGACACTGAGGCAGCCTGTGATCAGTGCTACCCAGAGGCCCGAGGAAGCTGCCGTCCACCGCAGCTCCCCACTCCCACCCCAGAATCGCTTCTCCCCGAGCCCGGAGGAAGCCTTTGTCTGATCGCCCACACTGTCACCCGCACAGTGCCACCCTCAGCCCTACGGCCGAGCGTGTCACACGGTGTGGCCTCATGCGGGAGGGGCGGAGGGGGACCGACGGCGAGCTCTGGGCGTGTGCGCAGACCCTACCCGGATCTTCCGGATGCCCGAGGACCAGGTTGTCCAGAGGGGCACCACAGTGCAGCTGGAGTGTCGCGTGAAGCACGACCCCTCGCTGAGACTCACCGTGTCCTGGCTGAAGGACGATGAGCCGCTCTACGTCGGAAACAGGTTCCTGCCGCCCTCCGCCCCTCCCGGTGCCAGCGTTGGGGCGCTTTGCCTTCCCTTGCTCCTCGCGCCCTGCATGTCCCCAGGAAGCTACAGAGGAGGGGTGGCAGCGGCGACTGCCCCCAGGACAGGCTGCTCCCGCCCTGTGCGCCTCTCCCTCTCTGCTGTCCGCTCCCCACCGCTCGCTCCTTCACTCATTTCTCCCGATCCTCTCCGCTCTTCCGAGGTCTTTCCCTCTTCGCGCCTTCTCCTCCTCTTCATTTCTTCCTTTCCTTTGTCTGCCTCTCTTCCTCCTGCGCCGCCTCCCCTCTCCACCCGAGGGCAGGTGAAGACCAGCCCGCCCTCCCCGCTTGGTGCACATCACAGCCCCCCGCCTCCTCTCACTGGGATTCTCCTTCCACTGGCGTGGCGTGAGGCAGTAGTGACTGCTTTTCAGGCCACTCTGGGGTTTCTACTGTGCCGTCAGGGCTGAGGACCGGCCAGGCCTCCCTCCCAGGGGAGGTGAATCCCGTGAGAGCCGCATCGGCGCCGTCTCCTTTGGCGAGTGCCCAGGGACCCTGCAGACCTTGCCTCTCTCAGAGCACTGGAGGGCTTCACATCTGGGCGCCCTGCTCCCCTCCTCCTTCCTTTTCCCTTCTCCCCAAGGCAGAATAAGCAGCGGGCAGAGCCCAGCTCCCTACCCACTGCTTGCACGGTTTTTCTGCAGGATGAAGAAGGAAGACGACTCCCTGACCATCTTTGGCGTGGCAGAGCGAGACCAGGGCAGCTACACCTGTGTGGCCAGCACTGAGCTGGACCAAGACCTGGCCAAGGCCCACCTCACCGTGCTAGGTAACTGCTGCCACCCCACCAGGCACCTCTGTCCCCTCCTCCCTGCTCCCCAGCCGCCAGAGCAGCAGGGAGCCCCACACGGTCCCAAGGGCAATCTCTGTGATCGGCAATGCTGCTCTCCTGCCTCCTGGTCTCTGGGCTCTGGAGCTGCCACTTTCAGGACAAACTGCGGGACAGCTCAGCAGTCCCTTCTCTAGTGTACGGCTGTTAACTCCCCAAACCCCAGTGAAGGGCACCGGACGCACGGGGTGGGGGCTTCTTCCTGTCATCTCTGTTCCTGCCTTGCAGCTGACTCCACTAAGTCAACTAACTCGAGTCAGTACTAAAGCCTGGCTGATTCTCTGTGTTTCCAATAGCCCTTGACACCCTTTCTGCCATCCCACCCTGCTCCTCCTTCGCCGTGGCCTTTCACGGTGTGCCATGCATGGGGCGAGCTCTTGCCCCGTCTTCCTGTCCTGCGTCCAGGAGGGACTGCAAATGTTAAGTCGTCCCATACCGAGCGGGAGGTGGCCTGTCCCTGCCTCCCCCTGTCCTCCCTGGACATCCTGTTGCCAGAGAATTGGTCTGCCTTTGTCCCTCTTGGTGGACCCATTAGGATGGGAAGGAAACAGAGCCATGGGAGAGGCGCAGACGGCCTCGGTGAGGTGGGGGGCTCTCTGCAGAAGGGAGGTGACGCCACGCTGGGATGGCCTGGCCGGGGCAGCTGTCCAGTGTCGGCTGCCCATCCCCCCCTTCCAGCGCACGTCTCTCCTTGTAATCTGCTAACCTGCTAACCCGTCTTCCCTTCGCAGCTGATCAGACCGCTCCAACTAACCGTCTGGCTGCCCTGCCCAAAGGTAATTCCTACTAACCCTGAGCCCTGGCATTTGGGGGTGGAGCCGGAGGAAGAGGTCGCCGCAGGAGAGGACTGTGGTCTGTGGGCTCCTGGCAACTCCGCACACCCTGACACATAGGACCCCCTTTCGGGTGCCGCATCTACCTTCTTGAGCTGGTGTCGAACCCTGCTCTGGGCTCCTTCTGTAGGCTGAGCGCAGAAGTCCGTAGCTGCCACTTGGCCCTCTTTCCTTACCTTGGACTCATCACCTCTGCCTTAGAGGCCTGTTTGCTCTCTGCTTGGCCTCAGAGCCCAGGAAAGCCTGCTGCAGCCTCCCCACATTTGCTACTCTACATCCATTGGGAGTCTTTCAGCCAGCCACACGCGTGCACACACATATGTGCACACAGATTAGTGTACTGCACATGACTCACCTTCCACGTCCTTCCATGAACCAGCCAAAAGAGGGAATCGCTGTTCAGGGAGCCAAGATGTAGAAAACCATCTGACCTACGCCTACCGTCAGTGGTTGGATGGCTTTATGCCCAGGCCAGGGTGGCAAAGATACTCACTAAGCAGGCCCAAGGGCAGCAGAGCTCCAGGAAAGTGCTGCCCTCACCCCTGTGTGGAAGCCACTGGGCCCCTCCAGGCCGCCCTGTCCTCCCTGGCCGGGTTATCCGGGTCTTTCCCCATTTCCCCGACCTTCTGCCCTGCTCGGCCTGCAGACCTGTTCTGGGCTCTGTCCCCTCACTCAGTCCTGGCGCACAGAGCAGGAGGTGACTGACTGTCAGGAGAGAATGAGAGAATCCTGCACTCCTGCCGTAGCGTTTCTGATAAAGAAGGCAGCCTTTTCCAAACACCGTGCTCTAAGACCGTCCACAGACACAGGACGGTGGTCCATCTCTCTCTGCCATTGCTCCACATCCTGTGATTTTTTGGGAGTGGGGTGGAATCTAGGGAGGGCAGGGGTGGGCCCTGTGCCAGCCTCTAGGGCAGTGGCAACGTGAACCTGTCAGGGAGTTGTCCAGGGCGGTTCCTGCTGCTTCGTGACATCTTCTCGTGCGGCCAGGCCGGCCAGACCGACCCCGTGACCTGGAGCTCACCGACCTGGCTGAGCGGAGCGTGAGGCTGACGTGGATTCCAGGAGACGATAACAACAGCCCCATCACAGGTGCGCTCTGCCCCGCCCGGCGTGTTTCCTGCCTGTTCTCCCCGTTGCCTTCCGTGCCTCTGTGCCCCGGGAGGTTATGAAGATGAAGGGAAGCCGGCGGGGGGTGCTTTAGGGTGGGACCGGCCAACTCGGCCCCCAGAGCAGCTCTGTCCCCCTCCCACACAGGCTACGTCGTCCAGTTTGAAGAGGACCAGTTCCAACCAGGGGTCTGGCACGACCATTCCAAGTTCCCTGGCAGTGTTAACTCCGCTGTCCTGCAGCTGTCGCCATACGTCAACTACCAGTTCCGGGTCATCGCCATCAACGAGGTGGGGAGCAGCCACCCCAGCCTCCCATCCGAGCGCTACCGAACCAGCGGAGCACGTGAGTACTGAGGGTGCCAGGGCCGGCGTACAGTGGGGCACCCTGAGTTCCCAGCCACGTGAGCTTGGGCAAGTGCTGCTTCCTCTGTGAGACAGAGCGGTAACCACGGCATCTGCGAGGACCATGTGAAAGTGCGTGCTGGTGGCTGCCGTGGTGCCCAGTATGCGGTGAGCATGGTCAATATTAACTTCCACTTTTATTATTATCGATGCTATTATTGATTCTTGGTTGCCTGCCGAAAAGGGCAGAGATGTGGCGAAGATGTGCATTAGAAGCAGATCATCCGGTGCTGGATCTGGTTTCTTTTCCTAATGTACTTGGGGAGCGTTTGGATTTCTGAAATCATAGCAGCTCACAGAGGATGGGGTTGCTCCCCCAAAAGACGTGAAGCACCAGGGATAAAGCAGCCTGGTATGGAATGTGTTTGTGGGTAATCTGTGGGGGAATAATCCACGCTGAGCTGGCTCACTGACCACCCACAGTGTGGAAAGCCTTGTGGTAAATGCTGGCTGATAAGGGATTAAAATGGAAATGAAATTAGCTCTGTTTTGGAATCATGCACATCAGAAAAAGACAGAGGGAGTACAGGGTGTGCAGATGCTGAGGAAAGCCAGAGCACAGAAAGGACCGGCCAGGGGGAGCGAAGAGGGCTGCTTACCGACCCCGGAAAGGCACGCATTGGACTTCAGCTTTGTGTCTGTTTGGGTTCCAGCCCCTGAGTCCAATCCCAGCGATGTGAAGGGAGAGGGGACCAGAAAGAATAACATGGAGATCACATGGACGGTAGGAGACCCTCCCCACCCAGCACACAATGGGCCGCTCCCTGAGAGTCCTCCCTCCTGTGCCCAAGCCCCCGAGGCCACCCTGGGCTTCCAGCTATGTAGCTGGCTTTGGCAGCTGCCCTGCTCCAAGACAAGCTCCTCTCCGAGTTAGGCATCTGGAAGCCAAACACGACGAGGGAACTAAACTGCATAGGCTGGCAGGGCTCATGGAGAATGCCAGTAAAGTAAAGGGGACTTCTTTTGAAGGAGAGACTTGGTTAGTCTTCAGGGAAGACCTCGGAGAAACCCCAGCACTCTGCTCGGCTGTGTCCTGAGGTCTTTGCTGTGGAGCTGTTGGGAGCACCGAGGTGTGCTCAGGGTAGCCCCACACACCCCACCTTTTTTTTGGTACCGAGGATTGAACTCAGGACCTGGCACTTGTAAGGCAGGCAAGGTGCCACTGTGCTACATCCCTGGCCCCAAGCCCTTTTAGTCACAGAGTGGCTGGGTAACACCAAGGGCCACCTCCCAGCCGGGATCAAGTCCCTTCTTCATTGGCTATATTTTCCAAACCAAAATTGGGATGCATGATCTCAAGATGACTTGTTTTCCAACTGCTTCCAAGTCTGGGAGACACAAATGCAGCCACTGATGTATTAGCATTTCTGAGCTGGCGCCCAAGGGGTGGAAACCATGAGACAGGGAGATGCTTGGAGTCCCATCGGCCCTGCCTCTGGCTACCTCACCCAGACACAGCAGCCCTGGGTCGAGCCCAGGCTCAGGACGCCAGGCCCACAGCTCTGCCTGGTGGGGTCCAGGGCTGTGATTCCTGGGCTGGGTCCTTGGAGCATAAAGGAGAGGATTCCACACCTAAGAGAACCCTGATCTGCCGGGAAGGACAGGGCAGACCCACATAGATTGGGTCTCTGAGTGCCAGAGTTTGGGCTCATTGGCAGGAGGCACGCGAGGATGAAGCCAGAACTCTGCTGACTTCGCAGAAGCGCGGCTCACTGGCTTTCATTGTGCTACTCCGGCCCCAGGAGGGAGCACTGTGGAAAATAAAGCCTTTACTGCCTTTGCGCTGACAAGTGTGGGTGTCTCAGAGTCAGTGACCAGGTCTGGGGTAAAGCTTCTCTTACGGAAACTCTGCACGCTGAAGTTGGCAGGACCCTGGGCTTTGGGGCCCCAGTGGAGGAGGGGTGCGCTCTCCCCTCGTGGCACAGGGCCTGGCCGGTGTTGGACGGGTCTGGGGTGGAGGGAAGCCTGGTACAGACAGAGAGGGTGGGCGATGGTGGGCTCGGCCCCTCACCTGAACCCTTTACCCTTCACCTGCCTTCCTGTCGTCCGTCCCCGTGCAGCCCATGAACGCCACTTCTGCCTTTGGCCCCAACCTGCGCTACATCGTCAAGTGGAGGCGGAGAGAGACTCGAGAGACCTGGAACAACGTGACGGTGTGGGGCTCTCGCCACGTGGTGGGGCAGACCCCTGTCTACGTGCCCTATGAGATCCGCGTCCAGGCAGAGAACGACTTTGGGAAGGGCCCCGAGCCTGACACTGTCATTGGCTACTCTGGAGAGGATTGTGAGTACCGGCCTCTCCCTCTCTCCCCAGCAGGCCCCTGTGGCCATTCGCTGGCCAGGAACCTCCAGGAGCCATGGGGAGGGCAGCTGGTTCCCAGACAGAGAAGCACTGTGCGGTGACCTGGAGCACGCCGGGGAGGAAGGGCCATCGCACACCAGTTAGGGTCACCAAGTGTCACTTAGTCCGGCACACCCGTTCTGCAGTGGTGACAGCAGAAGCCCAAAGAGAAAGCCTGTGTCTGGAGTCTGTAGTAAGCATACATCAGGCTTCAAAACAGTGCCCAGGCCAGGCCCCTGTACTGCCAAGGCAGATTGGGACCAAGAAAGCCTCTTTCTGTCCATCCCAAAGAGCTCTCATTCAACAGCTGGGTGTGGACGGCTCCAGAGCACCAGACCAGCCACCTGCCAGCATTCCTAGTGCTGCCCGAGCCCTCGGAACAGAGCATAGAAAGAGTTCTTTGGAGGAGGCAGGGATTAGCAAGGTTTTAGACATGTTTGTGCCAGTGTGGGCCTGGCTGCCAGAGGGTGGTGATTTCTCTGTGCCCAGCGCTCAGTTCCGGGCTTTGGAGTAAAACAGATCAGTAGAGTCCCCTCCTGGCTCAGGGTGACCCCTGCCCCATTGGGTCTGTATCCAGCGGAGCAGCCCAGGGCCAAAGAGGTGACAGATGAGGGCTGGCCCTGGAGTGACCACAGGTTGGACCCACTGGAAATGAGAGGTCAACACTCCCCACCTCCACTTCCAAACAGGTGGGAATGCTGGGTGGTGAGTGCGGACAGGGCAGTCTGGCCGGGCTTCCTGGCCACCCAACGGTTCCCACTATACCCATCTACCGTGGGGCCTGTGCTGTGGTGCGTTTCAGGGCAGGGTGGGCTCACTTCTGCAGCAGGCAGAGAACAGAGGGGTGCAGGTCCTTATGGAAGAGGGAGCGGCCCTCCCTTCCCTGGGATCGCAGGACCAGACTCCCTGCCTGTGTGAGGGTAGAGTGTCTCCAGTCTGTGAGTAGCTTCCTGCTGGCAGAAAACAGGTGACCCTCAAAGGGGCTGTTGACAGTGTGTGGACAGGGTAAGAGGGTGCACAGCAAGACACGTGATCCTCAAGGATGGCGGCAGCAGGAAGCCCATGTGCCCCCGGGGCCTTGATGGGCAGGGAGGGAGGCGTCACCCCGACCCTGGGGGTCACTCCAAGGAGCTGCGACCTTGGGGAGAGCGTTGCTAAGCTGCCCACCTGCAGCCCAGCAAGAGAAAGCTAGGGAAGCAACACCTGGGCCTCATGCTGGTACTTTGCGCAGCCCGGACTCACCCAGAAGCTGGAGAACAAGGGAGCCCGACAGCTGAGGTCTAGAGAGTACGGGGCAGTGGGCAGGTGGAGAGTGGAACAGGACACCAATAACTGCCCTGTTGGCAGGGTCCCTTACCTGGACTGCTCCCCGCTTGCCCTGAGCCTTCCTTTACTCCTCTACATGTACCCTGACAGAGGAGACACAGCCTTGCCGTCCTGGCGTCCCCAGTGTTCAGCAGGGTGGAGATGAGGCCCGGCCCCGCCCGCTTAACCTGCTCTATGCCCACGCATTGCAGATCCCCGGGCTGCACCCACCGACGTTAAGGTCCGAGTCATGAACAGCACAGCCATCGGCCTGCAGTGGAACCGAGTCTACTCCGACACGGTCCAGGGCCAGCTCCGGGAGTACCGAGTGAGCAGGCCACTCCCGTCCCCTAACAGCCCGGCATGCTAACCAGGGCGAGGGGTAGCAGAGCTGGGGCATAGGGCACCAGGGTGTTGGTTCCAGATGAAGTCTAGGATGCACTGTTCAGAAACCACCCCAAAGTAAACATGCACACAGTCACGAATCCCTCGCCACAGGGGCGTGGCCCAGGCCAGTGTAGCTCTGCCCCTCACTGGGCTCTTGGTGCGTGCGCTGTGTATGGCTCTGCCAGGGGAACACAGCGTGCGGTGGTACAGGAAGCTCTTTTCAGAGTAGGAGGATTCAAAAGTATAAAATGACCATTGATTGAAAAGTGCAGTGTAGTAAAAATACATGACCCAGCTCAGTGGCTGTTTATCACCAAATAGCTCCCAAATACCCTGAACCGCGCGTTCGGTAAATCTGCACAGTTACAGCGCTGGCTGCGAGGCAGGTTTGTTTCTACAGCACCATCACAGATGGGAGTGGTGCCCCGCAATGCGGTGTTTTGGTGGCTGCGCTGTCACCAGGCAATAGGACTTCTCGGCCCCCTGTAATACTCTGGGGCCACCGTCCCCCGGTGGTCCTCTGCTGATGGTAACATCATGGCTCGTGACTGTGTGCATATGCTCGCTCCAGGGTCTCTTGCAGAAGTTCTGCCAGGAGATTCTGCTCAGCAGAAAACCCCGAGAAGGGCAGTGGTCTCGGGCTGACGTGGCACAGCACTGTGACACATGTGTGACTTCATGCACAGTGTCGAGACTCCGCTGAGCTCGGCCCTCGCCCCGTGTCCCCTGCTGGGCTGCTCGCCTCACCAGTGGCTCCACAAAGCCACCACTAACAGTCAAAGCTGCGGAAAGGGTACAGGTGCCCTCCCTGTCATAGCACCGGGTCAGGGCTCTGCAGCAGGCAGGGTGCCCAGGCCCTTGGCTGCTGGTTCTGCCCAGGCTCCCGTCTTTGGAAGGCTGGGCAGAGATGGGAGAGGAGACCCAGGGTGCACAAAGCCCTCCCACTCCTCCGGGTGGGCTGGGAAGGAGAAGCTGTAACCCTGGGTTAACACTGGGTCTCTGGCCTCCGAGGCCATCTGGAGTTGGCTGCTGCTGGACAGGGTCAGTCTCCTCTTGGGAAATGACTTTGGAAAATAGGAGGAGGCACTCGGGTGAGCTCCTTCCCAGCAGCCGACTTGCACCCTTCGCCTATTGCCTGAATCTTTAGGGCTGAATCCCCCATCGGGCCCTCTTAGCCTGGATGTCCTCCTTACTTTGCCCTGGGCAGCGTGGGTGATGCTGCTGCGACAGCCTGACCTGTGGCTTCCTTCCCACTGCTAATCAGATCTCCACTGTACCCTGTGCTGCTACCACCTGCCATACCAATCCTGTCCCACCCAGGTCTGCCTCCGCGCAGCCCTGCATCCCACTCACCTGGACATATGACAGTCCCCTGGATGTGTGTCTCTCTCACCTCTAAAGATCTCCAAACAATAGGAAAAGGGACCTTTTGGCTTCAAGGGATTAAAGCAGCCTTCTCACATCCAGCCTTCCAGGGTGACCTGCTGCTCCCTTTCAGCTCCTGCCTGCTGCCCATCTAAACCATACTAATCCAACTCCAGGTGATGCGGTCTTTGGGCATAGAGCGGAACTTTCCACACATACCGGACCCCTGGCTCTAATTTGTGCTTCTGACCTGGACTCCTTGAGCAACGTGCATGCAGTTCAGAAATAAATCTTACGATCTGAGTGTGGCCAGTTCACCCATTCCCCAAAGACGTGGCCATGGCTCTGAAATCAAGTGAATTCCATCCCTATTTCTTGTTCTGTATAAATTCACATCCACCAGTGGCCAATGAGGGACACACCAAGGCTGCTCCCCCAGCCCCGTGTGGAACCGATGGAGCCATTTGGGCCCTGAAGGATGTAGCAAACCAAAGGAAGACCGGTCACCACCGCCACCGCTAACCACTAACCCGCTGTGCCTCCCGGCCCCTCACCAGCCCGCCTCTGTCCCAAAGGCCTACTACTGGAGGGAGAGCAGCTTGTTGAAGAACCTGTGGGTGTCTCAGAAGAGACAGCAAGCCAGTTTCCCCAGTGACCGCACCCGGGGCGTGGTGGGCCGGCTCTTCCCCTACAGTAACTACAAGCTGGAGATGGTTGTGGTCAATGGGAGAGGCAACGGGCCCCACAGTGAGACCAAGGAGTTCACCACCCCGGAAGGAGGTAGGTGTGGCCCATGGCTGTGCCGGGTGGGCAGGACAAGGGCAGCAGCACTGCTGGGCCCGGAGCAGCCCCAGCATGGCTTGGCATGGACAGCACACGGTGACCCCTGTATGGCCTCGAGGAGCTGATGACCCGCAGGCTGAGCGGCCCGTCACTGTCAGAGCCCCGTCACCATGGCGGCCTGTCCTCGCAGGAGTGGTATCTACAGAGAAGCCCAGTGCGGTCAGCTTTTGACTCCAGGCAGGCTGCACGGAGCGGCAACAAGGGACTGTGGAGCTGGGCCGCCCGACCTCCTGGATGACTTGTCTGCCAACCCTAAGGCCTCAGCCAGTTCTGTCCCCACATCGCCAAGCAGCACTCACAGAGAGTTGGCCCACATGGGCAGCTCTGCCACCCTTCTGCCAGCACGCAGCCTGCCCCACCCTGGGTGTAGACACTGTGAAGTCTGCTGCCTCTGCTCTTGCCAGGCCTCTCATCCGCTTTGCATTTGCTCCTCTTCTCTTTCTCCTCCTCCCTCCATTGTTTCTCCGTTTTCCCTTTTCTCCACCTCTTTGCTCTGCTCCTGTCTTCTTCCTCTTGTTTGCTTCATTCCTGTTCTTCCCTGCTCCTTGATTGATTTTGTCATCAGCCTGCTCCTGATACCTGGTGCTCCACACCGATTTCTTCCTCCGTCCCTGAACTCAGTGAGTTCACTCGGAAGCCTGGGCCGGCCGCCTGGACCCAGGGGCGAGAGTCTTTGTCTGAGGCCTTGGACGACAGCTGCAATGGGCTCGCTGGGATCCTCTGCAGCGTTGGAGGCACCTTGGCAGGACTGGAGCTTCACATGTGCCAGGGTCATTGTTAGAGGGAGACTCGGTCCACTTCCTCCCCGATTTAAACAGCAGAGCCCACGCCAGAGCAGGCATCGGGCTGAGGAAGGCCGTTCCTGAGGGGGCAGTGGGCTCTGCCCCTTGTCTTCCTCCAGGCCCTGCTTGGGCAGCTGTCCAGCCCAAGGTCAATGCCTTCATCCTGTGCTTTGTTCTTTGTGTTTTCTTCGTCCTCCCTGCCCTCCTGCCCCTTGTGTCCCCTGCTCTCTCCTCCTTCCCCAAGTACCCAGTGCCCCCAGGCGTTTCCGAGTCCGGCAGCCCAGCCTGGAGACAGTCAACCTGGAGTGGGATCACCCGGAGCACCCCAACGGGATCCTGACAGGATACACCCTCAAATATGTGGCCTGTATGCTCTACCCTTCGCTTTCCCTGAGATAATCTGAGAAGCCCCTGTTGTCACCACCTTTTCTAAGGAAGGGGGCTAGAAAGGCAGAGGGCACTGTGGAGGGATGGAGGGGACAAGGAAGAGCTCCCCCCGGGGCTGCAGGAGGCAGTGCAACCAGGGCCCTGCTCTCTGTACACACAGACTAGGCAGCTAGGAGCTCCTAGTCTAGGGTGCAGGGAGCACTCATCTAATGAGGATGACACCCTGGCCTTGGGGATCTTAGTGTCCCTCATGCCTCCAGGTCTAGGAGAGAAGAAACTTCCTCATACAGAGGAGCAGACACCCAGGGGATACCTTAAGGAAGTGTCATTTGTGTTAAGGTGGCTGAACATGGACCAGCCAGGCAACTTTGGAGTGACTCAAGTCAGGGGCCTGGGGCACAAAGACCTCCCCTTGGGATCTCAGGGTCACCATGCATGCCCGGGAGTGTCCTCACACGGGAAGGTCTTCAGGGCCTCTAGTGCATGCAGTGTTGTGCCTCACCAGGGAATCCAAGGGCCAGGTACTGCACTGTTAACAGTGTGCGTAGCCAACCACTGTTCAAGTCTGTCTGGGCCTGACCCATCCGGCCCAGAGGTTCATCCAGTGCGCCTTTTATATGGCAAGGCGCTAGCAGTCAGGTTTGCCCCCCTTCTGTCTGGACGGAGGGAGAGGAGATTGTCCTTGTCCGGAGGGATGGGGAATTGCGAACTGGATCTTTCAAAATCAGCCCCATGACTTTGTAGCTAGCCGGAGATGCCGGAAGTGGGAAGCAGCACCTGGGTGGAGAGCAAAGGGGAGGGAGGGGAGCTCCCCGCCCTGCCCTCCAGCTGCCAAAGGGCACCCAGCGGGGCCACCATCCCTTTGCACAGTCAGGAATTAAAGACCATGTCAGGCAAACACCGCTGAACTTCGTTCCACTTACCCCTCTCTCCCCAGTTAATGGGACCAAGCTGGGAAAGCAGATGGTGGAAAACTTCTCTCCCAACCAGACCAAGTTCTCGGTGCAGAGATCCGACCCCGTGTCACGCTTCCGCTTTACCCTCAGCGCCAGGACACAGGTGGGCTCGGGGGAAGCGGTCACAGAGGAGTCTCCGGCACCCCCCAACGAAGGTAGGTCCACGGGGCCTGCTAACTGTACTGTCGGAGGAGCACGCGGAGGGCTGGGCCTGGCTTCCTGGGATGGAGCGGGCGTGAGGCCGGAGGTTCTCAGGCCCTGGTGGGACCCGCCCCAGAGCAGGGAGAGAAGTGTGCTGTGACTGGAGAGCTTGCACCTCACCAGGCCTGGGCACCTGAATCAGATGAGCTGTCAGGCTGCAGTGAGGAGAGGGGCTGGGAAACAGCCCTTTGCCAAGCCAGGTTTAGAAAGAACAAGTGGACTCATCTCCATCCCACCGTGGTCCAGCAGCAAAGCTGCACCTGCCTGAGGACTCCACTAGAAGGCGCTCCAGGCTCACACACACACTTAGGCTTCCATGGGAACCTCCCAGGTGTGCGAGACTCCAACAGCCTCCATACTGACAGGCCCTGTGGAAAGGTGGGGACCCCTCTGCCTCTCCAGAGCTGCGGTGATCTGTGCAACATCCATTGGTTGGGGACTCACATGGTGCAGTGCGCCGGAAACCGTGTAGAGACAGCCATAAGAATAGTTGTTTGCTTACTGAAAGGGGTGGCCAGGCAGGGGAATGTCACTCATTCTGCAAGGAGGCACCCCGAAGAAGCTGGTGTACTCTTCCACCCCACCCCCAGGCTCTCAGGAAGTTCATTAGGGCTGCGGGGCTTTAGGTAAGTGACTGATACAGGCTTTTCCCAAGGGCCAGGCCATGAGGCACTTTCTCAACATAGAGCATCTTTCCACAACATACAGGAGAGCAAACAGAACCACATTGTCCAGCTCCAGTGACCTCCAGAGGGAAAGTTCTGCAGCCCCAGGGGATAAAAGAACAAAGACTTTCTTCTCAACCTGGGGATCTGTCTGCAGAAAATTCAGGGATTTGGAGGGTGTGGTAGCGCACACCTGTAATCCCAGCACTTGGAGGCTGAGGCAGGAGGATCACTGTGAGTTTGAGGCCATCCTGGACTATATAGTGAGATCAAGGCCAGCCTGAACTGTAAAGTTAGACCCTGTCTCGAAAAACCACCACCACCACCACCAACAACAACAACAAATCAGGGATTTGTTTTAGGTCTCTCTGTCTACACTTGGCTTCTAAATTTCATGAAGAACAACTGGTAGGAAATGCAAGAGGTCAGTCCTCGTGCTTGGCAAGACTGACGTGGAATGCAGGGCAGGGGTTGCCAGCCGAATGTGGTCCCTCACCTGCCTGCTCCCGTGCCATTCAGCACCTTCCAGCAAAGGCGCAGGAGCTGCCCCTGGCTGGTTATCCTCTACCACCTGCACCTTGCACACTTCGCTCCTGGCGTCCTGGAGGGTAACCCTGCCAGGGCGGGCGGGCCGCCTTTGGGAGAAGAATGGAGACCAGCATTCTGCGTGGACGGTCTCTGCGGCTTCCTCTTAGGTGACCACTCCTTGAACTTGGGTAGACACAGGGTATATTAGAAAGGTCCCCAAGACCCAGTGGAAAGGTAGGTGACTGCCTGACTCCCGTAGGGTTGACCAGCACTCTGAGTGCCTTTTCTGCTTGCTTGTCCTGTGGTTTCATCTCTGCTCTGTTTTCTCTTCCTTCTCTCAACCTCCCTCCCTCTCTCTGGTCATCTTGGGTGCTGTGTCTGAAGCTACTCCAACCGCAGGTACCGTACAACCGCAGAGGTAACGGGCATGGCATGGGGCAGCACGGTGGAGACCAGCCAGGGCGGAGCAGGAGGGAGAGGCTTCGGCCAAAAGCATTTTCCAGACTCATCCTTTCACTGGTGGGGAAGCCAGACCTGACAGAATGGTCTAGAGAGCAAGCACGCTGGCCCCTGTCACTCCGGAGGAGTGTGGATTACAAGGGGCCCCCTGGACTCCTGGCCTGCTTTCTGGTGCTGCAGCTTTCTCTGAGGCTGCGTGGTTACTTCCGGTGAGCAGTGTGTCCTCCTGGGCTTGCCAGCTCAGAGCACAGAGCTGGCCCTAGAAGGGAGCAGGGGCAACTGGCTCTTGGGTCAGGCCACCACACCCTGAAAGGGTGATCAGGCTGTGTGCATGCTGGCTGTGCATGCTGCACGGGGGCCCCAGTGCCAGTCTGCCAGCTGCCATGGGCTCGCCAGTGAGAACAAGCACGTGTGCCATTGTTTAGACCCAGAACCTGGAGTCTAGGGGCCACTGCGGGAAGAGGGTCCCCTGCCCCGCAGTTCCTCAGTCTTAGCATTACGCAGTCTCTACTCTCGGTCTGGGTGGTAGAGCTACAGCAGAGGGTCTGGGCAGGCAGCTTCCGGCTTAGGAACTGACCTGCTTGCCGTGTTCCTGCTTGAGTCCTTTAGCTGTGGGTTTCAGGCCCATCAAAGCACTGGTCACCGCAGAAACCTTGTCCCCAGTCTAGGGAATCTAGGCAGGAAATGCTGGGTTTCTTTCATGGTCTGGCCTGAGCTAAATTGTTTCAGGTGGGAAGTGAAACCAGGGCTCCCTGGCAGCACAGGGGCTATGAACAAGGCCTCGCCAGTGCCTCCCTAAGTAAGCTTCAGGCAGGGGCAAGCTGAGCACCAGGTGTAGGGAAAGGATGCTGCCTGGCCTGGCTTGGGTTTCCTGCCCACCTTCGCTCCTTCGTCTCCCGCCCTGCCTAGGTTGATTCTATTTCTGTTGCGCACCTGCTTCCCTGAGTTTGCATATGTCTGCCAGGTCTGTGGGTGGCGAGCAGCCCTCGTCTTTCTCTCGTACAGTCCTTCCCATCCCCTCTGCTCCCCGTAATCCAGGCCAGCTGGAGCCCAGGGACCCCTCACAGGTCTGCACGCCTCTGCCACAAGCCCAAAAAGTTGGCCAGGGCCAGGGGACCGGGGAGAGAGTAATCCTCTCTGTGCTGGGGGTTCCCCTGATTTCTCGTTCAAGGACATGAGTCTGGCCTGTGACTGTTACAGCAGGTGCTCAGGGCAGCCCAAGGGGAGACCCGGGAGGGCACCAGGCAAGGCACCCCAAAGCTCATTGGTCAGGCAGCTCCCTGTCCAGGTCCCATTCTGGTATCCTGGGACCGAGACAGATGGGCTCAGCAACAGGGAGTCTGCCTCGGTCAGTGGGCATCTGTGCCAGCCTGCGCTGCCCTCCCAGGAGTGGCAGTTGTGAGCAGGGTGAGGGGTGTCATCCCAAACACTCCACTTCCTGCTTCCACTTAGAAAAGATCCAGACTCATCACGTTACGCAGAACAAGCTCAAGGTCTGTCCATCAGTCAGGTGTGCAAGGCTCCAGCTTCCATGTGCCAAGGCGGTTGAGGCAGATTGCACTTTTTTGGAACGGATATGTTCTGATTACATCAGATGCGGGCTTTGTGCATGTAAGAGCCTTCTGCAGCGTCTGTAGGTGCCAAGCAGTGGAGCTCAGGTTGTATGTTCCTGACGTGAGCCCGGCGTCTAGCCCACCACTCCCTTCCCACTCATCCTTTCCAGACCTGGGCCCTTTCCCCAGCCTGATGTGTCCCTGTCTTCCCAGCGAAGATAATCCCTCACTTCCACCTGTATCCACAGTCTGTTCCGATTGCTGTCCATCTGTCTGACAAGCTGTGATTTGCCCAGGGTGGATGGCACGCCATGTGGAGGTTTTTGGACTGAGCATTCCGCTTGGAATGTCTGGAAGCTTCATCCCCGCCTTTGACAAAGCTCAGATCCACCATTGGTTGAGGGGCTCCTGATGGGTGCTCAGCTTCAGGGCAAGTTTTGGGGACAGAACGGAAGGAGGCCTGCCATCTCCCCACAGTTTCTCATCTCCCACACAGTGTTCCCCGAAGCTGTGGTAGAGAATGGCCAAGGCTGGGGTGCCTTCCAGTGGGGCCTTCCATGGGGCTGGCGGTGCCTGCAGGGCCCTGTGCCTCAAGCTCTGGTTGCCCCCGATACAAGTAAAGCCCATCCCTGCTCCGTCTTCTCAGTTGCCAGGCTGGCGGGGTCCGCTGAGCACTGACCAGTGTTATTTCCATGCCCAGAGGTCCCACTGTGGCTGGAAATGACACTGAGCCCAGGGACATACAAGGTCCCCTCGGGGCATCGCTGACTTTTTCATCCCACTGCTCAGCTTGGGGGTTCAAGTGATCTCCATGCTCTTGGACCCAAGCCAGGGGTGGCTTTCCCTGGGGAAGGCTTGTCTCCCTTTGCCTGTGTGTCCTGACAGCTCACACTGCTGACCCTGCTTGCTTTCTCTCAGCCTTTGCTTCTTGTCACTGCCCTCCCATCTCGGTGCCCCTGCCCACCCTGGGTCAGAGGGCACATTAATTCACCAGCTGTGACCTCAGCTGGCTGCAGCTGCCTCCTGCACAGGGACTAATGGTGAGCAGCCTGGGAGGCTGCCTGAGGGGACTCCTTTCCTCGCTCCCCTCCTGCTGTGCCATTGTAGCTCTGCAGCCATCGCCAGAAAGAACGGCTTTTGGGGCCAGGGATGTAGCTCAGTGGTTCGGTGGCCTGCCTCACAAGCGCAAGGACCCAAGTTCGATCCCCAGTACCAAAAATAAAAAAAGAAAGAACGGCTTTTGGGGCCAGGGATGTAGCTCAGTGGTTCGGTGGCCTGCCTCACAAGCGCAAGGACCCAAGTTCGATCCCCAGTACCAAAAATAAAAAAAGAAAGAACGGCTTTCTTCCCGCATCTTGGCAGAAGTGGCCATGTGCAGTGGGCACAGGTGATCTGGAGTTGCATTTCTTCCTTGTCGCTGATTGGCCTTGCCAAGCAAGGAACACACTCTACCTCAGAGAGGGCAAACCTTTAGAGCCCAAGGCCCACATCGCAACCCCAAACCCACTTATCATTGCAAAGTACTGACACTGCCCCTCAGTGCGCTGTTACCCGACACTTGGCCATGGGGGTGGTACCGGGTGGCTTGTGTGGCGAGCCGACACAGAGGGCTTTTCGTGCTGTAGGTTCATCACATGCATCCAGTCCCTCTCCATGTCTCTGGGGAGTGCCTGGTCCCCGCGGGAGCGTGGGAATGTGGATGTGCTCGGGAGTGCTCGGGTGTGGGCCAAGGGCGGTGTGAGAGTGTGTGAAGCTTTGGGGCCCATCGACTTGGATTCGGGGGCTAGGGATGTACAGGCGCTGGAAATGAGAGAAAGGAAGCCCAGGGCCTGAGCCCCACATTTAGGGTGATTCCAGTTATCAGGAGTGATTCCTAATGATGCCTCCAGACAGTGGTGGGAAGGGCCCAGCGAGCATTCCACCTGCCAGGAATGATTAGAAATGCACTGCTGCCAGGACCCGGTTGGAGCCATCCTGCCCAGGTGGACAGACAGAAGCTTCTGGTCCCCCCAGTAGCTCTGAACAGCGGGGGAGTCCTGGGTGCACAGGGCCATGGTGCAGCATGGACCAAGCCTGGGGAGCTGACCTTCACCGTGCAGGTTCCTACAGCTTCTGGGGTGAGAGGGACATGCACGCGAGCGCCTTGGCGATGGGATGTGTGCATCCCCTCATGCTTAGTGTGCCCGGAACTGAGCATCCGTGCCAGGCCTGGGCCATCTTGGGACTAAATATGAAGTTTGGGAGAGGCAGGGACCCCACCACGGCCTTCTTGAGGTCTAAGAATTGTCTGGGGCTTGGGAAATACTTTGGCTTTGTTGGTTTGAACTTGCCCAGCAATCTCTGGATGCCCAGTAATCTCTGGAATGTGTGGGCCAGTCAGTGCCACCCCCCTCTGCGGGACTTCTGATGTCCCCAGTAGAGAAGGGCGGGACCCCAGGAAAATGAAAGGGCTTCTGTTGGTTAGGCTCTGGTTAAAACGCCTAGGATCACTTCATTCTCCCTGTGGAAAGCTCTCTGACAACTCTCTCTCTCTTTCTCTCTCTCTCTGGATTCCCTCTGGCCTAACCTCTTACTATAGGCATAGGGAGGAACACGGGATTTTTTTTTTTTTTATCCTGAACCTCTGGAGATTTGAGACAGGGTGAGATGTGACAACTCCCTAGCAGTTAGTGTTGCCTGTTTATTTCGGAAGTTCTTGACTACTTACTGTTCCAGTAACGTTAGTACTGGTTAGATCACTGGAGATAGAATGCAAGGAGGAGAGGTAGCTCTGCCTCCCTCTGAGTTATCCCACCATTCTTCACCATTCTTAGCTCCAGCAGATACTGAACTGGAGAATAAGGGTAGAGCAGTCTTTTGTCAGTGTCCGTGTGCCTTCTGGAGAAGGAAAGGGTTCCTGTGCAAAGGTAGTCACATGTACACAGCTCCGGGAATGGCTGGCCTCAGAGAGTAGCTGGAGGTGGAAAATGGTGCTATGAGCAAAGAGCCCAGGTCTGACCTGCCCTGCGCCTCTGGTGACAGTCGAGGCAGAAAAGATGCCCAGCACGTGGCCCACTCGCAGCGGCGCAGCGGCGTCACTGAGTACCAGCCACACGTGCCCCTCTGCCGGGCTGTAACGCAGACAGCTTGGACTTGGGGTGCCTTGACCTCAGACTTCCCAGAGAAAGGCAGGTACCCGAGGTCGGGGAGGAACGGGGCAACTGCAGGACGGGAGAGCAGGGCGCCCACGGGACCACCACCCGGATGGGAACTGTTCTCTCCGTGTCACTGGCCGGGTGACTGGCAGAGAAAGCGGACAAAAGTGACGCTGGGTGAAGCTGGGGTGGGGGGGTCCTCCAGGCCGGGCTCTGGGGCTGGACCCAGCTGGTGCTGTGGGGCCCGCGCCCGTGGACTTGCTGGGACTCCCTGCCGTCCCTGGGGTCCGAGTGATTCGCGTGGGCCACCCTGTCCTCGGCTGCGTGCATGCGGGTGCTTTGACCGCGCCGACCATGGGAAGGAGCGAGCTGCGGGCGGCCGTGGTCTCTTCTTTCCCATGGTGGCGTCTGCCTTGGCTGTGGTCCCTCTCCGCCTCTGTTCGTGATTGCTGGGGAGGCTCGTTTCCGGTGCCCTCTCCTCCTGGGCTGCCTGCCTGCCTTGCACGCGGGGGCCGAGTGTGCAGGCCGGGCACAGCCAAACCGGGGACTCGGCTGTTTCACATTTCCCTCCCAGCTCCACCCACGTTGCCCCTGACTACCGAGGGTGCTGTGAGCAGCACTGACGCCACTGCCCCTGCCACCACCGAAGCCACAACAGTCCCCACCATCCCAACTGCCGCACCTACCACCATCGCCACCACCACCGTCGCCACAACTACTACAACCACCGCCGCCGCCACCACCACCACCACCACGGAGAGTCCTCCCGCCACCACCAGGAGTAAGATGCAGGAATCCGGTATTGCGAACCAGCTGCCCTGCCCCCCATCCCCTGGGAGAAGAGCCCCAGACTTCCCAGCAGGGAGGTGGGGTCCGCGGGGCTGTCTGTCAGCACCTTCTTCTGTGTTATTCACAAACTCTGTCCAGTGGCGAGGGCCCCGGGGTTCTCCAGTCTGCACCCCTCACCCAGCCTCCGATGCCTGCGCTGGAACACGGTTCTCCAGCAGGACCCCGGTCCCAGATGGGTGCCTCCAAGCGTGCAGCGCTGAGCACTCGGGGCGGGGAGGAAGCGCGCTGCAGCCGTCTGAGCGAGCTCTGGGCTCGGCTCCATTCCTGCCCTCAGGATAAGCAGCCCTGTCCCTGAAAGCCCCACTCCTTTCTTGTTCCTCTTCCCTGAGGAACTCTTCCACTTTCCTTTTCAAAAGGCAGGCTGGGCACGGTGGCGTGTGCCTGTGATTCCAGCTACTGGGGAGACTGAGAGGGAGGGTCACAAATTCAGGGCAACTGAGAGAGCTTCTCAAAGTTACAAAAAAGAACAAGTCACTCCCTCTGCGGCTAGTAAGAGAAGGGGTGATCGCGGCTGACCTGCGCCTCAACTCTGAAAACACCGAGCTGCTTTAGAGCTGCAGTGTCTAGGATTTAAACAGCATGCACTTGGGGAAGAGCTGGCTGAGGAGGAGCTTTCTGCAGTGTTAGAGGCTGCAGTCAGCAGTGACTTGGCGGCGGGGGTTCTCTGGGACCACAGTGAGGCGGTGCTGTGTCCTGAGAGAACTTCGAGTTCGCAGAAAAGCTCCACGAATGGGGAAAAGGAGTCTTACTTGTTTCTGGAAAGATCGGCCTTGTTGCCCCATGGGGCTGGCATATGACCCTCACTTCACGTTCCCGCCACGTCTGAGACCTGCAGAGGGCCGGGCTGATCTCACCGAGAGCTTGGGGATATTGCTAGGTACCCCACTCCCCTGGACCCGGCAGCATAGCGCTGCCAACCCAGAACTTTTTAAATGAATTTTCATCTTCACCATGCCTTACATCTTAGAACAAAATGTGTCATAATTTATCTTTCAGAGGGTGATGTGGGCTTTTTTCCCTTCCAAGTGTCTAAATTTTTTAGATTTCAGGGCTACGCCCTACTTCTTAGATGCCTGGAGTCAGTGGAATTTCCCCTCATCTGCCCTTTTTCTTTTTATAGTTACTGATCACTCGTTTTGTTGTCCTTCCTTTCGAACTTTCCAGGAAAGTCCTTTGCTGGCTGTCGCCTTGATCTTTCTGTATGGTGATGCTTTCTTCTGATGCCCACCTCTAAATCACTGTGGTTTCTTTCCCACTGTCTGTCCTTTTCTGAAAGTACTTCCCTTTAAGGCAGCCAGATTTGGGTCAGTATTACCTTGGGAGCCAAACTGCTTAAAAATAAATTATCTAGCTAGTTTATAGGGTCCAGAGTTAAGGAGGAAGAAACTCAGGTCCCCAACTCATGGCTAATCATCATCTTTCGTTCCCATTAGCAAGAGCTGTGAAATTCCAGGGGCTGGGTGGGATTGAAACAACCAGCCCAGTGGAAGCATCAGAGATGAGGCTTCGTGTTCACCTGGGGCAAGCAGCATCTAACTTGGTTGTAGCAGAAAAGACACTTTGAAGTGAAAACGAGAAATCTGTTGTCCTTGTCCCCCAGCAGAGCAGGCTCAGTGGCATGTCAAGTAGATAATGCATAGGGCTGGGATTTAGCTCAGTGGTGCCGCCCCCTGTCTGGAAAGTGCAAGGTCCAGAGTTCTATCCCTGGTACCAAAAAAAAAAAGTAGATAATGAATGCATTGTCAATGTACTCTGTTCATTTATTTTTGACAAGTGAATTGGTGACAATTCCCCTTCATGCTAATAAAATATATAGGAGCCACACTTTTAAAGTCTTTGAAATATGAGGTCTCATGCTAGCCCTCTCCTATTAAATCTTTGCAGGAAAATGGGTTAATCAGACTGCTGGGACTCTTGGAAAAACATGATTAAATTGGAAGCTTAGCGCCATCCTCCAGGACACAGGCTATGGTTTCGGACAGTGCTTGTAACAGGAAGGGTTCACACTGTCTTCATGTACCTGGAGCCCTGAGGTTTTAGGTCCCCACTCATTATAGAACATCTGAGGTCATTGTGTACACACTGGAGCCTGGAAGCATTTCCCTCCATCTGGTCCTGTTCTTCCTGCGTGTCTTGTCACAATTCGGACTTGATCTTTTTCAGTGGTGCTAGGGATCAAACCCAGGAGCAGTCAAACCCACATAGTAGACAAGTGCTCTCCCACTGAGCTGTACCCCCAGCCCTGTTTGCTTGGCCTCTAAAGACAGCATTTCTCCTCCCAGTAGAACTTCCACATCTCCCCTCTGTCAGCCTCCCGACCACAGGACCTTTCACTAACCATTTCCTCGCACAGTTCAGATCTATGATAAAGGATCCAATAAGGAAACAAGCCCCGGTTAAAGCTTCGAAGGGCACGGATCCAAACCCATTCTTGCATCCCTGCCCTGGCCCATGCAGACACAGGGACAGTTTCCAGCTGTCCTCCACATACCTGTCCTCCTGACTGCTCTTGCAAGTCCCTGGATGGTGACCTCTGGCCTGGCCACCCAGGCTGCAGCTTGGAGTTCTGTCAGACCCTGTGCACAGCCATTTCTGACTGCCCTTTCCTGGCTCTGTGTGTGTGTGTGTGTGTGTGTGCCTTCTCCGTGTCACCCACGCTGCCCCCTCCTCACTAACACCTTTCTGACCCATCCCCCAGCCCCTGATGAGCAGTTCATATGGAACGTCACGGTGTTCCCCAACAGTAAATGGGCCAACATCACGTGGAAGCACAACTTCGGGCCCGGAACTGACTTTGTGGTTGAGTACATCGACAGTAAGCATTGCTCTGCGGGGTGGCGGCGGCGGGGAACAGTAGAGGCCTTTACAGGGATCCTGTGTGCTCCCCCAGGCTCAGGGAGGCCTTCTAGCCTGGCTTAATTATAGTTTAATGAGATTGATGTGTGGTCAGGCTGCAGAGGTGGGAGGAGCAGGCTCGAGGAGAAGGAAAGGGCTTTGAGGCCATTAGTGAAGCCATCGAGTTGCATGTGTTTTGAGGACCTGTGGAACAAGATGCTTTTGTCTGTTTCCTGCCCGGATGAGAGTTCTGAATGGCCGCCAAATGAGCCAAAGCTCCCCTTGGTAATATCTCCCAACTCCAGCTTCATGTATCCTGATGCCTCTACTGGATGGGCTGGGCCAGTTCACAGATGGGCCAGAGTGAGAGACAACCGGAGCCATTTGTCCCAAAGAGCTGGTGGCTTGAGCTGAGCCATTCACACTTTACCAGATATTGGGACCAAAGACAGATTGGTTACACTGCCGAGTGTGGTCAGGACCTCCTGTGAGCAGAGGCCCCTGCTCCTCTGAAGTGGAACCCACCCTGTTGACCTCTCTGGCATGTACTCTGAGCAATGGAGCCAAAATCCACCTGAGCTAGCCCACTTGAAGACCCCTTAGGAAATTCTAAGCCAGCGCTGAGTACTTCATGGCTGGAGGGGGAGCTCATGTCCACAGGATCTGGAATCCCTAGTTTGGTTCAGATTTTTTAGCTTCTCACAGCCCAGACACAGGCACACACACACTTTTCTGGCTATGAGGCTTTGCCATTGGGCCAGAAATGAGAGATAAAAGCAGGAGTGAGAGCCAGGGAGTTGAGTCCTGTCTCATCTGCAGTCATCATGAGGGATGGTAGCTGGCTGTCTTACCCTTGGCAGGAAGACCCCACATGGGGAGCGAATCACTTCCGGGATGCCCACGCTTTGGTTGACTTACTGAGAGTTTGAGGAAGTAGGTCATGTGTGTTTAGTGCCAAGACTAGTGAGAAAGAACTTCAGGAAACAATGTCCTCAGCGGAAGGGAGATCGTATGAGAGTTATCATTGCATGGGCCAGCATGGGGAACTGCCTAGTAGCCTCCTGGTCTGTACTGCAGACTGGGCCCATGGTCCCCGCACCCCTTTCCCACCCTTTCTGCGCCTCTGACAGGAACCTGAGCACTGTCTCTTCAACTCCTGGTGCCTGGCTCTAGCCTGACAGAGATTTCTGTTCCCCAGGCAACAATACAAAAAAAACTGTCCCTGTTAAGGCTCAGGCCCAGCCTGTACAGCTGACAGACCTCTATCCCGGGATGACATACACCTTGCGGATTTATCCCCGGGACAACGAGGGCATCAGCAGTACCGTCATCACCTTTATGACCAGTACAGGTGAGAGGGGACCTGGCCTGGCCATCCCCTGCAAGCATGGGGCATCTCATCATCATTCCCAGCTTCCTGCTTGCCTCTTCTCCTGGGAAAGAAGACTCATCACTCCATTCCCACCTTGCATGGCGTGTCTGAGGCCCCTAGAGAGCCAGGGCAGCCAGGTGTGCATGCACAGTGCAGAGCCAGCTGATCCCGAGGATCCCAAGCCGGTGGGCTAAGCAGGGATCAGAGGAGACAAAGGATGGTATAATGAGAACGGGAAGCCTCCGTCCCCTGCTATGCCTGAAACAAAGAGCTTGGTGTCCGTGCAAACTCCGAACTCTCACTGTGTGTGGGTCAGGGCTGCTGCACAGTTGAGCAGCCTGCCCCGCTGCATTCAGGGTCTCCCTTCCGCATGTGGAGCTGGGGACAGGGCCATCCTGGGGTCTTGATCCAAGAACCAGACAAGGGGCAAGGACATTGGTTACCGCCTTGTCACCATCATCTGATTTCGAAAACACCCAGTAAGCGGCACAACTTGTTGAGGGCTTTATTTTGATTTGAATTTTGTCCCAAAATTCAAGTTTGTCTGGTCTAAAAGCTGACATTTTGTTGGGCTTGGAGACAGGAAGACGTTCTGGCTTTATAGAGGCTTTTGTTGTGGATGGAGTAACCTTTTCCTTGTGTCAAATGAACAGGCTGTGTGGGGCTCAAAAGAGGAGACGAGGTTGGGAAATCTTGCTGCTGCTGGGCATTCCGGATGCTGTATGGACTCTTGCTTATCTCCATGGTATAGCTTTAAAATTGGCCAGGGGAACAGCCAAGTAGGCTGTACGCTAAGGCCTGGGGCTAGGGGGGAGGGGAGGGAAAAGAGATTAAGAGCAGGATTGGTCCCTGCCTCTAGGGACGTCCTAATCAGATGCAGGTTATTAGACACATGGGATAGAAAGAGGGGGAAACCAGTGATTTATATGAATTTCTGAACGTTGGCTTGCATATTCATTACTCCTCCTGCGGCTGGCCTGACAAGGCTGATCCTGGCATCCTGGGAGTCATCCCATCTGTACCACTCCTCACCCCACCCCGACTCCTCCCTGAACCCCCGCCTGTCCTGCCGATTTCCGTGCCATCAAGGCTCGGAGTCTGACAGCCTGCTCATGCCCAGCCAGGCCGCCTGCTACAGGGCAGCCAGGCATGGGGACAGCAGACCGAGCGGAGCAGGTGGCTGGACTCTGACCCAGTTGGGGTCCTTAGCTCTTGCTCACCATGCATATTTTAGTTTTGCTTTGTTAATAAACCTGTGTGCGGCACAGAGGCAGGAACCAAAGTTGATACAGGTGAGGGTAGGGGTCTATCCTCAGGAATCCTGAAAGGCCAATTCAGCCTCCTGTCAGAGTTCCGCCTCTCCATGTGTCAGCCCTGCGGCTGTGGGGAAAAGTTAAGGAGAGAGCCAGGGAGAAAGGTGTCTCTCTGCCCCCCAAGGATATTCTCATCTGCTCATAGGTGTTGAGCAGGCAGGAAGAAGAAAGTAACAGTGACTGAGATTTGCCTCTCAGTTGGGTTTCAGAACTCATTTCTCTTTTGCTGGGCTGGTCTGCAGAAGCTCATCCTGATCACCTGCCTTCAGAGAAACGGAGGCACACAGCACAGAGAAGCCCTCCCAGACTCCTCCCCACACGGGCAGGAGAAGACAGGCTGACGTTGCTGGCTCTGGGTTCATATCGTCACCTCCCTCCCAGGCTGACTGGAAGTTACTACGCACATACCACGCGGGGAAAGAAACTATTTGGATTTTCTGAAGTATGTACGCACCTGTGGACGAGTGTCCAAGTCCTCCAAGACTGAACACTGTTTCCTGGGGGTGGACTGCAGAGCCAAGTCTGCACAGTCCCGAGACCCGCATTTCATGAAGGCCTCTCTGGGCCCAGCCAGCGGTCATTTAGGCAACCACAGGCCTTCACTTCAGTCTGAGATGCAGCTGCAGAGGTTCAGAAATGAAAGGAAACCACCGGGGGTGCTCACAGCTCCCCCAGCCTCACAGGAAAGAGCCCATTGGGAAGCTTTTGGAGGCAGGGAGCCCTGAGGAGCTACAGATGCGTAACCTGGGCTGTGAGGCCACCTGCTCTTCCCAAGGGCCTGTAGGCTGGGCTTGGGCAGCACCTGCGGGATGCTGGTGGTGGACTAGCAACCAATGGGGCAGCGGCCAGCTCAGACCTCAGGAGGGCAGGAGGTTTGACTGGATAGGGCAAGATAGGGGTGGGGGATTTATAGGGAGCTTAATCGAGAGTGGACAAGGCGGTGTGTGCAAAGATGGGCTTCTCTCACGATGGCTACTCTGTTTCTACTTCTAGAATGTAGCTCTGCTGACTTTGGGTGGCCGGCCTGTCTTCTGTGGGCGAGCCAGATTCCTCCCTGTTTGACCCAGGAGTCCAGGGGCACCGCCGCTGCAGGCTGTGTGGAGGAGGCTTGCATGCCAAGGCTCCTAGTCCGGTGCAAGAGGCTGTCAGGCCTGAGTCCAGTGCCAGGCCGGGGTCTAGTGCCGGGATGCCATTCCGGCTCCTGCTGCTTCCATCTGGTGAAGGGAGGGAAAGCGCACCTGGTCTGAGTGCGGATCACATGGGGCCACTAGGAGTCTGGAAACCAACTTAGCAGATCGGTTGAGGGGGGCACTGGTGGGCGATGCACCCGCCTTGGAGCCTCGCTAAGATGCCTTTCTCCAGGGAGGGGCTGCAGGGCCGCCGTGTAAGTGAGATGATCGTCTCCTGAATGTCGTCAGCTTTGTGAGACGTGCCTGAGCCCACCATCCCCCAGAGCCCACTTGCCCTTGAACAGCCATCTGTGTCCAAGCTTCACAGGCAGTTTCAGTAAGGACGGAAGAAGGCGCACTGGAACTTTACCCGGTACTGTGACTTCTGCCTCCTAAGTTTCTCATGTAGTCATTTCCCAGGGAATCCATGACTGTCTGGCAAAAGAAAGGGACTGCTGTGGAGAACATCGGATGAAGCCCCAGGAGCGGCGGTGGGGACACTTCTCTGTGCACCTTAGACACCACTGTCCACACACAGAGGATGTAATTCCCCCACCCAGTGCCCCGGTGTCGTGCTGGACAAGCCAGGAGCCGATCCCTGTGACCCCGAGCCGGCATCTGGAAAACCCGCAGCAGCTGCGTCCCAGGATAACCACATTACACCGAGATGAAACTGGTCCCGACTACTTGCTGTGTGACCAGAACCATACCAAGTGCTAGGAGCCTCAGAAAGACCCGCTGTTCTCAACTAACCAGGACCTGGGAGACAGAGCAACTCAGTTACATTTATGTGAAATATTCAAGAGTGAAGTCAGAGTCCAGAGGTGGTGTGAGCTGGAGCGATGGGAAACAGCGAGCAGGGAGAACGTGGGTAGGTGGTGAACGGGAAGGACAACAGTCCAGGGGGCTCAGATGGGGTGGGAGAAGTACCCAGTTGACGTCCAGGCTGAGTAGCCGAGCCCAGTGGGGCAGGAAAAAGAACAAGTTGGTGATCTGCCCCAGGAGGCTAGGAACAGCATAACGTAACATGTCTCGCCGTGTCTGTAAGCTCCAGGACGCAAGAGGTGAGGACCCTCCTAGATCGCAGCACTGAGGCAAGATGCTTTGGAGGGAGCGACAGCAGCCCTTAAAAACAGGGAGAGCAGCAAGGCCACTGGCAGAGCCCCAAGGCTGGGAGAGCCACAGAAGGAAACAGGAAGTGCATGCTCTGAATCCAAGCAGAGAGCCAGCAGGCGGCAGCGCTGGGCCCACAGCTGTGGAGTGGGGTGCAGGGACGATAAAGGTGAACAGTTCGGCGGGAGCGCTGTGCCGGAGCCAGGGTGCAGAGGCGGCTTCCGGAGAGCTCTGGGTGGTCAGAGCAGAGGCACTGGGTGGAGAGGCTTGAAGTCAGTCTGCTGCGGCAGAGAGGGAACTGGAGGTGAGGGAGGTAAAGGCATCTGCCTGGACTGGGCAGAGCATGAGCTGCAGCTCAGAGGTGCGGGCTGTGCCATGAGGATTTGCGTCTAAAAAACCACAAGAAATCTCCGTGCGTTCAGGAGACAGCAGAGAGGAAGAAGCGCACCGTACTGGAGAGTCCAGAGGTCCTTAGGGGAGTGAGAGACCCAGAAAAGCATCCAGCCCAGCTCACAGGGAAGGAGGCAGAGCCCTCCTTCCAGCACAGGCGGGACCGCAGCGGGGCCAAGAGTGGCCGGGTCTCCAGAGCATCGAGGACAGTGGAGGGGAGGGGTCCGAGCAGCACAGAGCCTGGCGTGCTGGGTGGGCAGCTGCAGGGCTGGCTAGAGCACCGGCAGCAGGCGGCTGCACCAGACCCGACCCGAGCTCAGCTCACCTTCTGGGGGCTCTGGAGTCTGGGCAGTGAGGAGCACAGACTGAGCCACATGGCCTGCAGCCACATCCCCGCTCTGCCACCTACTTGCTCTGTGAGGCTAAGTGAAAGTCACTTAGCCTCTCTGTGCCTCAGTCTCCTCATCCCCGAAAATAAGAGCAAAAACAAACCCCTTCGTCGTGGGCCTGTGTGAGGACTGAAGCAGGTCACGTGTGGGGAAGTACGCACAGCAGGGCCTGGGCAGTGGAGATGCTGATAAGTCTAAATCAGTAGTTGTGGAACTCTATCAAATGGTTGTAAGTGCTGTGAGCAAGATGAATTCGACCTCTTGGATCAAGGGTGGCTGGGTAGGCGGTGGGTGACAGGGCCTTTGCTTAAGCTGGGAAGGTGCAGGAAAGGCTTTTGGGGGGCCTTCCAAGACAGCAAATGCAAAGAAATGCAGAAACAAGAGCAGCAGCAAGTGCAAAGACCCTGGGGCAGAAATGAAAGTGGCCAGTGTGGCTGGATCATGGAGAAGGATAAGCAGAAGGTGGGATGGAAAACTAGGGAGGTGGCCAGGGCCAGGTGTCACAGCCTGACACGTCAGAATGAGGGAGGTCAAGCTTTCTTCAGCAGCCATGACAAGCTCTGGGCGGCGGAAGCAGGAAGTGATTGGGTCGTGCACGGCTGTGCGGGGAGTGGGTTGCCAGACAGGAGCAGGGATGGGTTTCCCTCCGCAGCTTGAGGAGGTCAGGTAACCACAGGCCGTGTTCTTAGGCACTCAACTGCTTTGCCACCTGGGGCCGGGCAGGAAGTGCACGTGTGGGTCTTCACCATGTCTGCCCCCGGGAAGGACAGGATGGGGGTGAACCAGCTCCCTGCCCATAAAATGGCATGGGATGAGGACGCTGGGGTCCCCACCCCCTGGCCCACTGTCACGGGCCCTCCCACAGCCGCTCAGGGCCAGCAGGCTCCAGGGCTGCTTTGCCTGTGCTGCGTTGCTCGGTCGTCCCCTCCTCACCCTGGTGTCCCGGCAGCCCGAATGCAGTCCCTGGGCCATCGGGGTCACCATCGGGAGACCCAGGGCTCCAGGCAGACGGGGCGCCTCACCGCCAGAGTGCATAGTCCACTGCAGAGGTGTGAGAAGGCACAGGCCGCCCTAGACCTCCCCCGCCCAGGATCCACTGCCAAGGCCTGGATGGCTGTGGGTCCATGCTGGTCGCTGGTCAGCAGGGTCGCCCCCTGTGCCTGCGTAGACCTGCAGGGTGTCCTGGCGCTGCTCCGGGCTGGGTCAGGTGGAGGAGCCCGGCCCTCCCTCTGCCCCCGCTCTGCTGTGCCCAGCGCTGTGGTTTGCAAGGATGCTGTTCCTCAATCTCAGCGAACTTCCGTGCCCACACGAGCTGTCTGGCCCTCTGCTGCTTCCTGCACCCCTTTCCTTTGCCTGTTTTCTGACCTTTTGACCTTGGCTCTTTTAACCGTTTCCTTTTGGTCGCTGTGTGAGGCAGTTTGGGGCAGAGCGCTGTCAGGCGGTGGAGTTGGGCTCCAGCAGAAGATCCAGGTGCCATAGCTGCGCTCCTCCCCTCTCCTCCGCCTCACCTTCTCCCGTACCGCTGCTCACGGGTTTGCTTCCCACCCTCCTCCCCCCAGCGTACACCAACAACCAGGCGGACATCGCCACCCAGGGCTGGTTCATCGGGCTCATGTGCGCCATCGCCCTCCTGGTGCTCATCCTGCTCATCGTCTGCTTCATCAAGAGGAGTCGAGGTGGCAAATACCCAGGTGAGCCTGCCCGTGAACCGCCAGGTACCCAGCCGGAGCTGGAGGCTTGGAACCACGGTCCTCTTGCCTGCCCGGCACATCTGGGAGCTGCCAGCGAGCACTTGGTTAATTACGCTGGTCCAGCGTGGGCAGACAGCTTGGTCCAGGCAGCTCCAGAGGGGATGGAGGGAAGTGTGGCTCCTGCTGAGAACGACCTTCTCTGCCCTTGACTCACCACCCATCTGCTTGGTGAATTGGCTTTTTTTAGTCCAGATCGCATTAGAATCCTGTGTCCTAGGGAAGGAGTAAGGAAGAGAAGTGTCTTCTCTGACCATGTCAGAGAGGATGGGGAACAGAGGGGTCTAGACAGAACATCACACCCGTGAGAGCGGCTGCAGAGACGGCCCGCAGAGGGACCTGAATGGAGAGGTCGTCACACTGGCTCCTCATGGCCCTTACAGGGCATTGGGCTTCCCTAAATTTCTGCAGAAACACCTCTCTTCTGCTCTCCCAAGATCCTCCAGCCCAGACAAACCAAGGTCAAAGACAAGGACCTCTGTCATTCTTGTTTCTGAAGATATTGTTTTCCAAATGGGCAAGAGAGCCATCTGTCGGTGCTGGGTGGGTGGGGTGACAGGAGACAGGGTAATGAATGACCCTGCAAGCGACCAGCTTGCTGGACCGCAGAATGAAATGGCTCCCTCCCCCAGAGCCCCGTCACCAGGCGCTCTGCATGCTGCCCAGATGCCTCCTCCTCCAGAACAGGCCCAACCTCAGCACAAACACGATGGAAGGAGAGGGGATCCTTTCTTACTTCCTTCCCCCTGCCAAGCACCCACAGACCCTGGGGTCTTGAAGGGATGCTTCTACCTAAGACAGAAAGGCAGAGAACTATCTGCAGTTCCTTGCCGCTGGTGTTTTCTTCCACTTAGTTTTCCCCAGGAGCCACAGGGCCCGGACTCCAGGCTTCTCTAGTCTACTAATTAGTGATGTGACTGTTCTTCACCTCTTAAGGCCTCGGCTTCCCTTGCTTAAAGTAGGAGTGATTATCCAGCCTTGTTCTTCAAAAAAGAACACATCAAGCGTCCCCTGCCCAGGTGCCTGGTGTATGCCAGGTGAAAGGTGTCCCTCCCCCACGTTGCAGCTGCTCAGAGGCACAACACGGCACACCCATAGCCGGTGCACACCTGGGGAGTTCAGGAGAAGAGCAGCCAGCGAGGGAGGACTGATGGGAGACCACGCCAGCCCTTAGGTGTAAGAGCATCCTCCCTGAACGGGGCAGGCTGCCAGGAGCTTTGCAGAAAGCTTCTACTCTTGAGGAAAGAACCAGTGTTCTGTTCTGAACGTAAGAAATATGCACACATAATTTAAGACCAAGCAGAACAACAGAGGGCGAACAGTAGAGTATTTGCCTTTGGCAAGGGAAGGCATGCCTTCCCTTCACTCCCTTGGGAAGACTTTCTGGGAGGAAGTGACGGGGAGCTGGGGAAGAGGAGATTCGGTTTCTCAGTAGGGAGAAGCCAGCGGAGAGGAGGAAGGGGCAGGACAACCCGACGACTGACTGAGCTCAGGAGGCAGGAACAAGGTGGGCACGATGGTGGCTCTCGCTCATTGGCCATTGGCCCAGGGCAGTGTCTTCTGGCGCTGTACCCAGCAGAGCCCCTGGGAGAGGAGCCTGCTTCTTAATCATCCTGTCTGTGTCTGCCTCTCTTAATGACCAAGTTCGAGAAAAGAAGGATGTTCCCCTGGGCCCGGAAGACCCCAAGGAAGAGGACGGCTCCTTTGACTACAGGTATGTGGCACACACCCCCGGGCCCCTCACCTCAGAGTAGCTCAACCTGGCCGCAAGGCCTCTCTGCACCCATGTCCTCGCCCCTGGGTTGTCACCTGTGCCTCTCCCTCAGAGCAGGGGGCTTGTGCTCCGAGAGGCTGCATCCTGATCGTGCCGGGTGAGCTGCTCTCCAACACAGCTTTGGTCACGTGCACAGCTCAGATGTCCTGAGCGCCTGTGTGTACCCTTCCACCTTTTCACGGCAAGCTGAGCTCCGCTCCAGACTCCTCCCTGCCTGGACCTCACACCCAGCCCCAAAGACAGTGACCCAGACAGGCTATTGTCCAAAGCCTCCAGGAGTGAAAGGAAATGTGGGTTCTAGGGCCTTTCCTCAAGAACCTGGCAGTATCTCTGGACCTTCAGCTAGAACAGGCTTTGGAGAAGCACCCATGACCTAGATGAGAGGGCTGAGGCCACGCTGAGAAGCCGTTTGCCCAAACTGCCATGCCCACCACAGTGACCCAGCGGCAGAACTGGAAAGGACGGGCTGACTGCCAGTTACAGCTCTTGTCTCTGCCTGTGCCCCCACTCAGATCTGGATGGCCCTTTGCATCTTGGTTTAACACTATCAACTGCTCACTGGAGGGCAGGTGTATTCTGAGCTTAGGAACAACACAGGATGGCTCATGGAGTCTCATTCCAGACCAAGTGCGGTGGGAGGAAATGTCTGGGCAGAGCCCGCCCTCCCCACCCCTCCCCAGTTACTACCCAGGCCCAGTTCCTACCCTATCCTCCTCTGACCTCTCCTATTCCTTTCTGGGCTTCTGCCATCCTGCCCACCCAGGAGCCCGTCTGGCTGCTTTTGGACCACAACCATCCTTCTAGTCCCAACATCCCCATGAGCCTCCCCAGAGGGCCACCCGAGGGGCCCCTCCCTCTTCCTTGGCTGCCCTCAGCAACCTAGCAGGCCCAGTTCCTCGGCAGGCTGAGAGCCACTCCCTGGCCTTCAGTTCCAAAGGCCATGGACCTTTCTCTCCCCAGGCCCTCGTGCAGCCAGAGAAGAGGGGTGAGGACAGGGCCAGCAACCTGCACTGGGAGAAGCTTCCACCTCGTGCACAGCCCTTACCCAGACCACGAAACTGTTAAACAAAAGCACCGTCCCTGCCCCACTGAGGCGCTCACCGGCGTGCACACACACACACACACAGCATCTGTCTCAACCCCCAATTCATGCATCCAGGAGTTCCTAGCTGGCAAAGCCTAAATGAGTAAGGAGGAGGGAGAACTAAGCTTCCTGGGAGCAAGGGGAGCTGGCCCACCGTTACTCCATTTGGAGGTGCAGCTTTCGATGGGGCTGTGCCGCTCTGTCCTGTGTCTGTCTTCCCGCACCTGCAAGGTTTCTGGGAGGCCGAGCTGACAGGTGACTACACCAGGGCCACCCTTTCGTCCGAGCCTCCCCGGGCAAGGTTTCTTCCAGACCTAAGAGCCAAGCACACTAAAGTCCTCTCCCCTGCTGTTCAGTATCTCTGTCCTGTGGCTGCGTTCTGCAAATCGTATAACACAGCCCTTGTGACTGCAGTGGGCAGAGGGCCCTGGAAAGGTACATGTAGAAAAAAGGCTTGCAGGTAGGCTGAGGGGTCTGGCAATGAGATTTCCACTTCCAGCTCAAACTCAGAGCAGGCTGGAGACCTGCTGGCCTCTGCCACTGTCCTCCTGAGTGAGCACTGCTATGAGAGGAGCCGACGGGGCCACACTAATGGGCCGCACTCACTCAGCATGGGGCAGCAGGCTGGTGGCTTCCGTCTCCTAAGGCTCGCTCACACAGGGCCTCGCTCACACAGGGCCTCCCCAACAGCTATCTGCCCAACGCTGCTGTGAGAAAATGCTGCCTGCTGTGATGGCAGCTTAGCTGGGTATTTTTGCCACACCCAGGAGCCACTGAGACTGGGGGAGCTGGGGAGGGGTCCTCTGCACGCTCAGACCACATGGCGTCGCTGTGGTCCGCCTGGCAGGCCTCAGTTCCCCCTGCTGGCCTACAGTGCCTCTGCCTGGGTGCCGGCCGTCTCACCTCTGCAGCGCAGCCCGCAGTACCTGGTCCCCCTGGGAGCCCAAAGGGCAGAGAGAGTTTCCCAGCAGGGGAAGGATTGGGGCCTTTGTGTCCTCGGGAGCACAGCACATCTCCAGGCTGGGCAGCAGCGTCCAGCAGCTCTCCCCCAGAGGGGGCTGGTGGGGTCCTCCAGGCCTGGCTGTTGTTTTCTCAAGTGTGCTGGCCTCCACCCCACTTGCTAGGTCCCAAGTGCTAGCAGCTGTTTGCGGTTAAACTACAGGTCCGAGGAGAGCGACCGTGAGCCAGGGAAGTGAAGAGGGGGAGAGGTCTGTTTTCTTCAACCTTTACAGAGGCACAGGGCGTCAAGGCCCACCTTGGACAGGCTATGGCCACGAGGTGACACAGGCCCCATCCTGACTCCTGCCATCCCACGTGGTCTCACGAGCTGTGGCTTGCCTCTCGTGGAGTGGGCCGACCTCTGCTGCTCCCGCTGCACAGTGGCCCTGTGTTCTGTAAGGGACCCCAGAGCAGGAGTCCAGAGGTGGGCGCTGCACCTCAGGGAGACGTCTGTCCCCCTGGGTCTGGGATTTCCCTCTGTGGAGGTTGCTGCGTTAGGGCATGAAACGCGGTGCCCCCGCCCCGGGCCCGTGTCCTCTGTGCTGCACAGGGCCTGTGTGTGGTGAGAAGTCAGCCAGGCAGGGCAAGCGGGCCCTGATTCTGTCTCTCTCTGACCAGTGACGAGGACAACAAGCCCCTGCAAGGCAGCCAGACATCTCTGGACGGCACCATCAAGCAGCAGGAGAGCGACGACAGCCTGGTGGACTACGGTGAAGGCGGGGAGGGGCAGTTCAACGAAGACGGCTCCTTCATCGGCCAGTACACGGTGAAAAAGGACAAGGAGGAGACCGAGGGCAACGAGAGCTCAGAGGCCACTTCGCCCGTCAATGCCATCTACTCTCTGGCCTAACAGAGCCCACCAGGCACAGCCGCTACTTCGCAAGTGGGAGGAGGGAGAGGGGAGACGAAGCTGCCGCAGACCTACCGCAAAGCCGCCACCGCCTTCAGGGACAAGGGCACCTGCCGCTGGGTCTGCCCCGCCGTGAGGACCAGCAGCCACCCAGCCCCCACGTGCCCCGCCCGCCGTGTGCCGCTGGTACGGGAGATTTAAACTAGTCAGATTGAGTGATGCTTCCAGCAACTAATCGCATGTCAAATAAAAGATATTTTATGTAATAAATTACTGCTACAAGTAATTCAAATGTCATTTATCAGTTTTATTATCAGTCAGGCAAAGTCTTGTTTCTCTATATTAATCAAAATCAAGTTTTTTTTTTTTACGCTCACGCGTGCTCACGTCTCTGCTGGTTACCGTACTTCTTCTTGTCTCCATTCTTTTCTTTGTGCATCTTTCCCTCCAGACCCAGCGTCTCCATTCTCTTTCTTTCTGTTTTTTAAAAAGTGTCCCTGGAAAAGCAAGACTGGATGGCTTCTCCCGCAGGAATGACCCAAAACAAGGCAAAGAAAAGCAGTAGTATTCATGCCGCCACCGGGCCAACAAGTTTCCAAATGCCTTTCTCGCCACGTGCCTGCCCTTGCTCCCACCCCATCGGCCTCTGCCCAGTCGGCTGCTGAGCTGGGCTTGGCTTCTTTCTGGAAAGTGACAGTATTTGGGGCAGGGAGAGGACGGGCAGGCCTCCTTGCCTCTCTCGGGTTTGGTTGGCAAGTTGACCTCTTGCTCCTCGCTCTCGCCCTGCCCCTGCCTCTGGAGAGTCCAAGAATGAGCCGCACCGATTCCGAGGGCGAAGGTGGGGAACGCAGCAGGTCCTGACAGGCAGGACTTCAACTGCGGTGACTGGACCGCCGTCAGAGGAAGTCAGAGGCCTGGTCTCTCCGAAGCTTCACACCGCTGGAGAGAAGCGAAGGGCTGGGTTTGGACGCCAGTGAAACCCAGGATGCAGGAGAGAGGACCACACCTGCTGTGTGGGAGTGGGGCACCTGCCCACCTGGCTGGGGTCTCCGCTGCTGCGCTCAAGGAGAGAGCCTGTGAGCAGAAGCCTCGCTGGTGTGTTCGGGGGTGTAAAGCACTGCTCCCCTTCCATCTCTAACAGCCGCCCCCAGTTCTGTGTGACACTGAGACTTGTGCTTGACTTGTGTGTGGATGGGCACTGCTGCCTGCCTGTCCTTCTTTAGGGTGTGTTCCTATCCGAGGACCCAGAGGTGACGCCGTACTGACAGTGCTGTGACGGCCCCCACCTGGGGAGGACTTGACGCTCTTCGTATGCCTTACGCAGCTCTGATCTGTCCCTGCAGTCCCTGGTCTCGGCCTGTCCTGCAAGCCTCGAAACCTCCGGTGACATCTGTCTTGGGACTAGGCAGCCTAGGCAAGGGTCCCTGCAAGACCAGAAGCAGCCACTCCGCACTTGCCCTCACCCCGCTGCCCACACGGAGACACTTGCGGACCTGCAGCTCTCAGACCGAAGGTGCTGCCTTCCTCCTGCCCACCTAATCCATTTTTGAAACCAAAGGTACCTACCCTCAGCGATGCAGAGAGCACCCCCTGCGGCTGTTCCTGCAGTTGAGTCAGTGTCGGGAGGGTTGGGCTCGTCCTAGGTGTACCGCCTGCCACTGATTTGAGCCTCCAGCTACAGCCAGGGGGCCTGGGCAGGGCCAGGGCTGTGTCCTTCAGAGACTTTATTAAAGCATCATTTGCCACATGTGTAAGCCGCAGAGGTATTAGCAATGCTTGCATCACTTAACCCCCGGGTTGAAGGTCAAGCCCATAGACACACATTGTCTGCAGGTAAGAAACCGTAACCCAAAGCAGAGCCATAAGGTTGCTTGAACCTGAGGCTGTGGCCGGGCCGGAAAGGGCAGCTCTCAGGATGAAAGGGAACAGGGTAAAGAGGAGGGGCTGGGGAGTGAGCTCAGGTTCCCCTCCCAGCTCTCTTCTAACACCTGCAGGGACGCAGGTGGTCATTCACTCCTGCAGCCAGGCCCACTGTCCCTGAAGGGAGTGTCGGGGAAGTGTGCCTGTGAGCTGAATTAAAGGACCAGACTTTCCAGAAAATGCTGTGGACCTGAGCAGAGTGGACAGTTTCTCAGGTACCCATTCCACACTGCATCGTTCGTCCTGGTGAACCAGTGGCACCGAGAGGAAGCTCTTAGGGTGGGAGGGGATGTTACTGTTGTCGCCTCTACCCCCACCCCACCTCTGGATGGCCTGCCACAGAATGATAACTGGAAAGAGCCGTATCTTAAGGAACTTGAGAGAGATGAGTCCTCGGGTTATCTTTGCACCCCACCTCAGAGTCCTGCTGTACCATCCTCTCGGGGTGTTATTTTGTGCATGCTGGCGGCCACCACCCCACCCCTGAACCCAGCACTCCATCATGATTACAGTCCTCCAGGAAGGAGCAAATCTGGGGCTGAAGAACCAAGATTTCCCCAGGCAAAGATGTGATTCGGAGGTGTGGGGTTGCAGGATTGGGGAGTAGAGGAGGCGCTTTCCAAGTCCACCTACTCAGCAGGACAGCAGTGTTACCCATCACTCCCTGCCAGCTGGGTCTCAAGCAAACACCCCAAAATGTTCCAAACAATGCCAGGAGTGGGCATTAGCATTGGTGCTTCGCCTGTCTGGCCAGGGGTAGGGGAAAAGGTGCAGGTCACCTTGCAGTGGCTCTAGGCTGCCGTCCACCTGCGTCCCAGCTGAGCGTGGTGGCTGCCTGCACTCTCCTCCGTCCACCGTCAGATACTCTGCACATCTAGCCGGGGCCGAGGCCTCTTCCCTGAATACCTTGGTGAACAAAGTCCGATGTGGTCCCTGCCCATGCAGGGCTGACGTTACTGGCACTGAGTCTTGGGTCGCTGTGGCCATTGAGTCGGGAGTATTCTGCCCTCTATTTTCTGAGCTACTGACAACTCCCAAGCTGGAAGGAGGAGGGTTCCCAGGGAGAACTTGGTCCATCTGCTCAGCACCTCTGGGCAGGACCGGGAGGCCATGACTTGCTGGATGCATTGAGGAACAGTCCTGCTCCTTGAGCCTCTTTGTTCTGCCCCTTGGGGCAGGCTGCTTAATCTCTCTGTGTTCTGGTGCCTGTTCAGCCCCTTAGAGGGCCCGGGCCACCTGAAGGAGCAGGAAACCCAGGTCAGAGCCAGCTGCACCCCGCTTTGCCTGACTTATGGTGAATAGGACCCCCACTTCCCTTCCTTGCCTTTGCAGAGATGGCTGACTGTAAGCTAAAGGCAGAGCCAGGCCAGGCCAGCCCCTCCCTTGTCCCTATCCTCCTCTGCCTGAGAGGTTGGAGGCATCTGGTCCACCCCATCTGGCAGGTCCTGAGGTCTGAGAAAGTGACCACACAACCGAGAGTCGTGCAGTGCCCACCTTATTCTCCAGCGAGGTACAGCAGCAGCGTGGGCCCAGGGTGTGCGTTCCCAGTGTCCCTGACCACAGTCAGCTTGGGAAAGGATAGAGACCGACCCACAGGTCTGTGTGGGTTTCCAGCTAAGGAGCAGGCTCCCCTGGCATGGCAAACACCCACGCACACACATGTGCACGCAATGGGCCACTGCTCAATTGCAGAGCAGCACTTGCAGCAGGGAACAGTCCAGACCCAGACAGCATCTTGCAAAGGGTGAGCTCGTGTCTGGGCTCTGGAGATGAAATCCACGGTGCTTTGTGTGGGAGTGACACGCAGCTCGAGGAAGAAGAGGCCACCAGAACTGAGCCCTGTTGGGGTGGTTCCTGTGGCAGAGCCTGGAGAGAAAGAGTGATGTAAAGGAGCAGGAAATGCTCCCCAAGAGTGGCACAGGCTGCAGCTCTTTGTGGTTCTTTCTGGAATCTTGCATGGAGCCGGGCCAAGTCTCCAACTGCAGGATGGTGGAAGCGGCAGGGGCACTTTTGTCTCAGCCTTTGTGAGGCTGCTTTGCAGAGAGGTGAAGTTTCTCCGGCCTTCTGTGGGCTGGGGCTTGGAGAAGAGCAGGTTCCCAGGGTTCCAGGTTCCCGGAGCCCACTCTCTCCCCATGACACCTCGCGGTGAGCACCAATGAAACCAGCCCCTACCAAACAAGCCCACAGCTGCGGTGGGTCCACCCAGTTCGGCACACAGGGTGATTTTGTTCCAGTGAAGCCAAGGACCCTGCATGAGCTTTGCATGCTGGTTTAGGAGCAGCATGTAAGAGGTCCCTGACTCAAAACAGAAAAGGAAAAATAGGACGTGAGCCAGTGAAGCAAAGAACTTGAAGTGACAAGAGGAGACTCCGTGTCCTGAGAGGCACAGGCCAATTGGGCAGAGCCGAACTCCTGGACAGCCCCTTCCCTTGAACGAGACAGGGCCCCCATGTGAGTTGGAACAGGCTTATGGTTGTCCCCACCCTATGCAACCCAGGGAAGTAAGTGCCCTTTTTCTTCCTGCCCTTCTGAGAAGGGACTTCCCTGGGACGCCTTCAGGAGAGGACTGCAGGAAAGGAGGGAACCACCCAGGGAAGCCGTGCCGCCCACTGAGCACTGTCCCCAGCCACACCCAAAGCCAGCGCTCCTCTAATCCATCCATTAGTATTAAGTGGATGTTCCACAACGAAGATGGAAATGAAACAGATACCAGGCCAGACCGTCTAGCCTGGGACAGATTCCGATTTCAGCTTGTGAGGGAATCTCAGAGCTGATCTCATCGAAGTGACTCATGTCAGACAAATGAAAATGGGAGCTAAAGGGATGGGCTCAAGAGGGCAGAGCTGGTAAGTCAGGGCAGGACCAGGGCTTGACCTTGGGCCTTCTGAGTCCTTGGCCACTGTTGTTCATCTCGCCACAGCTGCCTCCTTGGTATTACTTAAGATCTGTCCCTTGGGCCACCCTGGTAAATCTCTATCATTTCTCCCACATCCCCGACAGCTCCCCAGTGAAAGACAGAAAGAACCCAGCTGTACGGTTATGGCAGCCCCCAGGCCAGAGCCTAGAATGACGAGCTGGTTGGTGCTGGTGACTGAAACCTGGAGGGTCCTCCCGGAACGGTGTCTCTTGCTCCGTCGCGCTTCTGGCTCTGAGCACCTTGTATCCCTCAGAAGGGACTGGGGCAGGGTCCCCTGACCATTCTTCCCTTGGCCTCGGGGTGCTGAGGGGCACTGGGGCTGCGCCAGGCCTGCCACCCTGGCATTTGCTGGG